ACTGAGACAGCCCTCTTGAAGCTCAATTAGTGGGTGAGAATGCCAGAATTTCAAGGTTCAGCTGGAAAATCTTCAGTAAGCGAGGAAGACAGATTGGCCCCAACGGCAGACTGTAAACTTCGCCTCTTCTCTCCTGCTTCAGGAGTTGTTTCTTATGAATACTGGTGTGTTTTGTAGGGATTATGAGGGCATAATTTCTAAAGATAAACTTAGAAGAGCAACAGAAACATACCTGTTCTTTATGTATTGTCTCTCTTTGGTTATAAAAGAGGTTCAAGTGTATCCAGAGAATATTTGAAAATGCTACTAAAATCATCAGCGTTCTCCACTGATGTGAGGGGAAAAATACAAATACTCAAGAGCCACATGTGAGGGTCATCTCTTGAAGAAAGATTGTATTTGAAAAATACTCATATGACCTCACAGATGACTCAAGGTTCCCGTGCACCTAAAGTTCAGCTTTGTGGTCTCCACACCGTGGGGCTTGTTCTAGAAATACAGAAAACTGCAGGTAATCGAGCCCGTGGAAGAGGCCGTGTGCACTGACTCCCGGCCAAGCTCTGTCACTCACAGCCTGCTTTACAGGACTCATCGCACCAACGCCTCCTGAAAGGCCGGCTAATGTGAGGTCGGAGAATCAAGGTCTCCCCCTCTTCCTGGGCCCGCCCAACCTCGCTGGGCCATGGAGCAGGCCAAGAAGGCCCTCAGCCTTGCCCAACACCCGCCGGATCCTCTCTGCTCTAAAGCACACGATCTTAAGCCACATTCAGAGAAGAGGAAAGCAGAGTGTTTAGCGCCGTTGGACTAACAGGAAGCACTTAGATGCAAATGCATAATGGCCAGCGCCCTTGACAGCTGAGAGCCAGTTTTTCACAATAATAATTCTTTAGTTTTCACTGTATTTATTCTTCTTATACTCATTTTTAGTCACCTCCCATCTAGGAAAAAACTCGGAAACCTTTCTACGCTGAGCCTTTCTGTGCCTTGACTGGAATCCTGCAGCCTCAGGAGCGGGGCTCCCGTAGCCCCTGGGCTGGGGAGATGTGCTGGCCAGTCCTGGCCCCCGTCAGCCCCTACCCCACCCATGAGCACTTCTCAAAGCTTTTGGTCTTAAGAGCTTTTTGTACTTCTAGAAATCAGCTAGGCCCAACTGAAGTAGTGAAGAACTCTTGTGAAGGCTGTGTAATTGAAGGAAGCTATTTAGATTTAATTTTGGCTTTAAAATTTTAAATTGTTATCCTAAAAAGAGAGAGAGAGAGTGTTCAAGTTCAGGTTTATTTTTATTTTATCAGTGTTTACTGGGTTAAAATAAGACATTTAATGTCTGCCTATTAATTGATTTAATAATAATTTCTGAAACCTTATTGTCTGTTACATAAATAATAGCTGTCATAGAAAATTACTATTTGAAAAAACAGAACAGTGGCTTATTTTCAGTTTGGCTAAACGTCTTTGATATCTGAAAGGCAACTGGGTTCTTTTTTTGTGTGTGGGGTGGAGAGTTTGCCGGTCCTGGGGCTTGAACTCAGGGCCTGGGCACTGTCCCAAAGCACCTCTGTGCTCAAGGCTAGCGCTCCACCACTTTAGCCACAGTGCCACTTCTGACTTTTCTGCTTATGAATCCAGGGCTTCATGTACACTAGGCAAGCATTCTACCACTGAGCTACCTTCCCGGCCAGCTGGGTTCTTATATTTGGTTAAAACATAGCATAAAGTTAGCCTTACAGTGGTAAAACTGTTGAAAAGGGAGGAGCACTTTCATAGACCCTCCATGAAGTTGTGGACTTGCTTTTCTGATACTGTGTCAAAACTGAGTAAGTAGCAGTCTCAAAACGTAGTTGACATGTGGAGTCTGAAACCGCATTGAAGACGTTTTTGTACTTTATGACATGAAACAATCTATTGGGTTATATAGCATGTTGATTGACTTTTCCTGTGAAAATTTTTGTAACCCCCTGCATTGATCATTGAGAAATTATCAGCTCCTTGAGTACTGCAGAGCTCCAAATGTGACACATTTAGATTTTAAAGTCATATTTGTTAATATCAACAGTTCAATCAGAAAAGACACAAGTATTCAGAAGCTGTTACAGCTCACAGTGCAGATAAATGGTTTTGCCAAATTTTCAGTTTTCCCTTGAAAAACGCACATTTCATTATTGGCAACAAATGCTGCCATTGGAAGAGAAAGACTTACTTCTTTCATTTTGTAAGGAAATATCACTTGGTCGTGATACTTTCACTTGCTGTGGCTAGCCACGGAAATGGCGTTTGATGAAACATGGCTAATTTGGCGAATCTGTTCCCTGGAGAAGCCACTGATGTGTATGCGTATTTAACATTATGCCATGCCGGAATCAATGCGAAGCCAGGAGCTTCCTTGATAAAAATCAGCATTTTTCTGGCGCACCTAGGACATACTTAGGCAAATAACACCTAAGAATTACTAACAGATATGTTTGACCTTGCATGGTGCCTGAACCCCCAGGTTAAAGGGGAATAGCGGCGGTCACCCTTATTTAAGCCCCTGGTGTTGGCTGGCGGACAAGGGACGCCCACTCCACGTGAATCCCCGCCGGGGCCTGGCAGGGCCGGGGCAGGACATGGCTCTTTTGTGATGCTCTGACCACGGCACTGCGTTGCAGCTGCTCTGCTACAGCTAACGGAGGTAATACAATCCGAGGACTCTTGGCGGCATTGCTTCTAGTTTAAGCTTCCCGTTCCAGCTGGAGATGAAGTGCGGTGGTCCTGCTCTTGCCTATCAAACACAACCGCAGCGTCTCCGCTCCATCCTCAATCCCTCAGAACCTCAGAGTTCACTGACTTGGCTCAGGCTTGCTAGTGGATCTGAGCGTCTGGCACATGTCAGACTCCAAAATAGGCCCTGCTTTCCAGGATTCTTCAGCGTGCTCCCTCTCTGCCCACCCCCGGCCTGCTGACCTTGGCTTAGTGTCTCCTTGCTCCCTGAACATTGGCCTCACAGTCTGGATCTCTGTTCAGTGTCGTACTTCCCACTGAGTTCCATCTGTCCCTGTGTAATAGATACTGCAATGCTGGATTTTGCTTGGACCTGGGACCATATTTGGTTTTGTAGTTGTTGCTGTTTTGGTGGTACTAGGCATTGAACCTTGGACCTCACACTCTTGGCAGGTGCTCTACCACTTGAACCTTGCCCTGGCCTTTTTTGGCTTCATTACTTTTTAGATGAGGCTTGACATTTTTGCCTGGGGATAGCCTCAGATCACAATCCTCCAGTTTACTCCTCCCAGACAGTGTATTTGTTAGAATAGGAGTCTCACCAACTGTTTTACCTGTGATCTCTCTATTTCTGTCTTCGAAGTAGCTTGGATAACAATCACCAGCCACAGCCCCACATTTGTGTTTTAACTGTCTGTTTGCTTACTTACCTTGTTCTTTTCCACTTCTGGCTGAGATTGTTCTGGACAGGGATCTTGGTTTTCAAAGTTGTCCTGCCCTGTGCTTCAGGGTGAAGGGCTAGTGCTCATTTGTCCTCTTGGGGGGTATCAGCTGATTTGGATTTTTGGATCAGCATGAAGCTCAGAGTTCACCTAAATCCTAAATTAACCTGAAATCCATGTTAACTGAAAGCTAATATTTCTAGTTTCATCACGATGCCCTGGTGAGAGGGGTAATCATAACTGATGACCAGTTCTGTGTCCTCTGACCGTTGCTTCTCCTGTGAGGGAGGCTGGACCCTGGGCATTCTCTCTGGAGGATTTGGTTGTCGGTGGTGAGATCTGTCATCCTTCCATGCTAATGGATAGGCATTAGAGGCACTAGCCAGCCTGCCTTTGTTCAGACTGTGAATGTTCACTGGCAGAAATGGGAGCCTGTGTGTCCCAGAGACGCGTCTCCTGAGAGGAGCCAGGTCGTAGCAGCTCCTGCCTTGAGAGAGCTCTAGGGTCATCTTACTGTGCCTTCCTACTTGGGTATCCCTCTCTGAGCTTCCCGGCTAATCTAAATGCCCGAAGGGCTGCAGGCACAGCAGTAAGTTAAGTTGATCCTTTACGTCCAGATGCCTTTGAGCATCAGCAACTGAGGAGTTCTTAGGTGAGTAACTCAGTCAGTAACTGAGTTCTTACGCTGAGCCAAGGGCCCAGGGCTGCCACAGCCAGGGGCAGGGAGCAGACGGCGGAGTGTGGGCAGGGCGCCAGCCGCAGGAAGCGCCCACCGAGTTTATTCCTCGTCCTCCTGCTGGCACGCCAGCCAGCTCCTCGTCCCGAGGTTCAGACTTGAACCTGGTCTGCGCTGAGGTTCTCAGTTCAGCACTGGACTTGGAGACAGCGCAGCTTACCAGCAGTGTTCCCAGCCTCGCCTTCCCGGCTGGCGGTGCCACAGTGGCTGCTGCCTCTTGGTGCTTGGAAAAGTAGTTGAGAAAGCGGTGTCCGCCGACTGCTGCCCAAGTCCCAGGGCGTGCGGTCGGCTCCCGGGGCCATGGTCGGTGTCCAGCTCCCAGCCTTCTGCCCTGACCGCCCCTCCGTCTCCCGCCTCTGTTTCCTAATCTACCTGTGTGTGGGCATCACGGAAAGTGTCGTCTGTAACTCTGAAGTCGGTGGCGTGGAGGCGCCGGTGTAGGGGGTGTGGGGTCTCTGAGGTGCTCAGAGATCTCACCCGTGGTGAGACTTGGGTGCTCTGAGGAGTCGTGTCTAACCCTTCTCCTCCCCTCCCAGCCAGCCAGGCAGGCGAGCTGCAGCGTTGCTGCTCCATATCACAAACACGAAATGTTACGATGAAGTAAGAGCGTGACGAGCTGGCTCCTAGCTCGCACAGGCTCGGACAGTCTTGTCTACAGCGTGCGACCCAACGGGATGTGGGCGCCTTTCATTGTCACCGCAGTGTCCCTTCTTTAAGTGTCGTGGCGTATTATTCTCCATCCCCGTCACGGCCTGTCGCGCCGCCTTGCTTCTGCGTGACTGCGGGCCGCCCTCTCTGAGCGCGGCAGCCGCACAGCTCCCATGCTCCTCCTGTTCTCTTCCCAGCCACGCTGAGGGAGCTGGTCTCCCAGACCATGATCTGCTGGGCCCAGGAGAACCAGATCCAGGACGCGGAGCTGGTCCGCGTGATGTTCGACCTCCTCCGGAGGCAGTACGACAGCACCGGGGAGCTGCTGCAGGCCCTGCGCAAGACCTACACCATCAGCCAGGCCTCCGTGAGCGACACCAGCCAGCTGCTGGCCGCCCTGGGCCAGATTCGCTCCCTCCTCAGCGTCCGGATGGGCAAGGAAGAGGAGCGGCTCATGATCCACGGGCTGGGGTAGGCCGGGGCCACGCCGCGGAGGGCTCGCCACGGCGTCACAGGCCACGGGCTGGGGTAGGCCGGGGCCACGCCGCGGAGGGCTCGCCGCGGGGTCACAGGTCACTGTAGAAGGCCTGGCCCTCCTCCTGGAGGCATTACACCTTTGGCTCAGACGGGCCACCTGCTCCTCAGGGCGTGAGGAAAGGAACAGCGAGGATTTTTAGGTGAGGGAAGGACAATACTGTCTCTTGAGTCTTCTGAAAATAGCCACAGGGAGACGAGGAAAACCAAACCCAGAGGATCAGACGCTTTCTGAGGCTTCCTTCTGGGCCTTTCCGCTGAACTCTCACCTATGGAGACATTTTGTGTTGTGGGATTCCTTACCCATGTTCACGGTTCAGGGGTCGGACTTAGAACAGTGTAGCACGACAATTGGCAACATTTTAGCCATTTGAAGGATCTCTTACATAGTAACACTTGCAATGCACCCCAGGGAGTCACTGGCCAGTGTGTAACTTCACCTGACTTAAACCAAAATCAACACTGTAGCGTCCCCCCCCCCCCCACAACCCACAGGCAGACGTCCAAGGTCCTCCAAGGTCCTCCAAGGTCCGGGAAAGGGACTTCGAGTACAGCTGGGGGAGAGGGTGCAGACAGGGGCATTCAGCAAGCTCGTTCCCGAAGATGGCTTTTACAGGAGCAGAAAAGGGCCTCAGAACTGACCTGAGTTCAGACCACAGTAGCAAAGACTTTATGATGGAGCATGGAGGAGAGAAGGCAGCTGATTTGGGCTGTCTCAAAAACAGTTACAAGCAAAAGTACCAGGGCAACTGTTTACGTGTCAACAGAAAGAAACATGTTCCATTCAGAAGCCAATATTGATAAATCAGGAAGTAAAGACTGTCAGCGGAGGAGTCGCCCTTACGGGCCTCTTCCCCCGCAGTGTGCTCGCCCCTCCCCGAGTTCTTAGCGCACAGAACCACGCAGGTGCTGACCTCTCGCTCTGCTCTTACCCTAGAGACATCATGAACAACAAGGTGTTTTACCAGCATCCCAACCTCATGCGAGTCCTGGGCATGCACGAGACCGTGATGGAGGTGATGGTGAACGTGTTGGGAACCGAGAAGTCGCAGGTAGGACCACGCAGAGGCCTGGACTCAGGCCGGTCCGCCTGTCTCAGCTCCCTCTCCTCGGGGAGACAGGGCTGCGCATGATGCCAGAATGGAGCACAGAGGAGACAGCCAGTTCTCAGAGCTCGGGGATCTCCTCACCCGACACACCCTTCCCATGCGTAGGTCTCGCCCTGCATCCTGCAGCCCTGCTCCTTCCCGCGTGGAATAATGCTGCGTTCCTCTGGGCTGAGCCGCAGCAGGCTGCTGTGAGGCAGTACTGAAGGGATCCTGCCGCTGCTGTCAGCCAGGCTCCTGACAGACCCGTTCCTTGCCAGCTCAGCCGTACCGCGGGTGACAAGGGGAAGGAATGGGGACTGGGAACTGGCGGGCTCTGTCCCAGCTCGTCTGAAGCATCAGGTGGCTCTGGCGACCATACATACACAGTCTCAAATGTTGCAAATGCTGGGTATAAGTGGATCCCAGCCCAGTTTCACCAGTACGGGGGGAAGGGGGGGGCATGAAAGAAGAACCCCCTCTCCGGTGTCCCTCTCATCTCTTGGGAAAGTCAGCTCTGTCCACAAGATTCCCCATGTATGTTCTAGATCCTCAGCAAGCAGGGCGCTGCGGCTGTCAGAGGCCAAAGCAGATGCCCAGGGGATCCAGTCAGGTCTTTCTAGCATCCTGAGGCACCGTTTACGATGGTAGAATTAAAGACAGGAAGCGGCCTGGCTTACGGGGGCTGGTCCTCTGCCATGCAGGGGCATCGAGCACAGTCATCGTGGAGTGGGGGGCGTCGCCGTGCTGATGCCCATGGCTCTGATTTTGAGCTGTGTAGGAGGAGCTCACAGGAGACACTTCCGTAACTGAGGAAGGTTCCCCGAGAGGAGTGGGGTGCTCTGGAGGCCCAGCCGTGTCTCTGGGCACTTGATTTCAGTGGGCCTGCTTTTTGATGGCCCCTGCTTCCCTTCCAGGTATTTCCCATCAGAGGGTCCAGCCCACGCCCTCCTAGCTGAAGACGACACTAGCCCCATGTGGAGTGGGTGGGTCCGTGTAACCCCTGAGGAAACTGGGATTCTGCCGGGCGGCTACTCCCTCCAGAGCTAGAATTAGCTCTCCGTGTTTTGGGAAGGCTTTTCTTAGGTGCCCTCCGCTCTCCGTCCCTCCTGTGAACAAGTCTTGGGGAGAAAGAAAAGTGAGGGAAAAATTCACTTTCCAAACTGTGCACAGCTTGTAAGATGACTTCAGAGATCAGACTTACCAGAAGAGCCCAATGGTACAGCTTCCTGTCTCTGACGTTTTCCCTACAGATTACTTTCCCAAAGATGGTTGCCAGCTGCTGTCGCTTCCTCTGCTATTTCTGTCGAATTAGCCGGCAAAATCAGAAGGCGATGTTCGAGCATCTAAGTTACCTGCTAGAGAACAGCAGTGTGGGACTAGGTATGTCTGTGTGTGTCTGCGTGCCATGTTAACACTTCCACACTGGGACTCAGGTTACACTGCCCCTGCTGATTACGTAGGAGAGCCAAGGAAGCAAGCCACATAAGCCAAAATACTTTCAAACACAAAAGAGGATGCCACCTGTGCTCACAGACAAAGAAACACATCTGTTCTCCAACCTAGGCAGACGTGTTTCTACCAACCAGCAGTGTGACACTTGTGCTGGCACAGGCCCCTGGGGACCAGAGGCCAGCAGTGTAAGAAAAGCTGCCTGGAAGTGAGGATCTCTCGTTGAGAAACACCCCTCCCAGCCCACTCAGCTGATCAGAAGCAGAGCTAAGGGGACCGATGTCACAGATCCGGTCCCTTCTTGTCAGGCTGGCTACCGAGCTCATTCCTGTCCCGTCTTCCAACTGGCGAGTGCTACACTTAGTATACTGCAGACCAGCCAAGAGCAAGTACAGACGAACAGTGAGACTCCATCACCCATCCAAGAAAAACACCTCACTGCCCGGTCCTGACCCTGTCAGGCGCAAGCCAGAAGAATGTATGGAATATGCAAATACATGCACTTGAAATCATACTCTTTCTGTTTATCAAATGCAGTGGAAGGCTACTAACCTTTTTGTAAAATGCCACTGAAGTCTTCCTTAATTCTATTCTGCAAGCCAAACAGACTGAAAATAAAGGTCACAGGCAATGTTGATGGCCTGATGTGAATATGTGAACGAATGCTATTTGGAGGTATTTTAAGCTCGTGTGGCATCTGAGTGTTTGAGTGATCATCAGAAGGGCCCGAAAGTCTTGTGTTAGAGAACATGTTCTTTAGCCAGGCGCCAGTGGCTCACACCTTATTAGAGGCTGAGATCTGAGGATTGTCGTTCAAAGCCAGCCCAGGCAGGGAAGTCCATGAGACACTCTTCTCCAATAAACTACTCAGAAAAAGAAGCCAGAAGTGGCGCTGTGGCTCAAGTGGTAGAGCGCTAGCCTTGAGCAAAAAGAAGCCCAGGGACAAGGTCCAGACCCAGAGTTCAAACTCCAGGACCAAGAGAGAAGGGGGCGTTGGGGGAGACATGTTCTTGGTGTTGGAAATATGTGTCTCACCCATTCTTGTAGACTTGTTTCCTACAAATCTGTGTTTACAGCCAGCCATGATTTTAGGGAGAAAGAACAGTAAGTCTGGCTGCTCTCGGGCCTCCGAGGGGCCCAGGCTGTGTGTGTTTGCTGCCCTCTGCTGTCCACTGCGTGACCTGCGGCCTTAACCAACGGGGGTGCCTCCTCTTCCCTCAGCCTCCCCCTCCATGAGGGGGTCCACGCCCCTGGACGTGGCAGCCTCCTCCGTGATGGACAACAACGAGTTAGCGCTGGGCTTGGAGGAGCCGGACCTGGAAAAGGTAACAGGCCCCTGGCTGGGGACGTGCCGTCTATTCCTCGCGGTAGCCACGCGCGGGGGAAGCCAACCGAAGTCTGCTGCTTCGTCTGGGCGAGCCGCAGAGCCAAGAGTGACCTTGAACATGTGGTCACGAGTTCCTTGTCTGTGGAGGGCCCTGTTGACCCTCCATATACGAGGCTCTGTGTCATTTGACGCGTGAGTTTCCACAGACAGGGACAGAGCGGGCGGGAAGGGGTGTCGTCCACGCCTGCTCCTGCGCCCTCCACTGGGCTGTGGGTGGGCTGAGGACAGGGGCAGCTGTCTCTGATCTGTGCACCATCCCTCTCCGGGAACCGCTTCCTCACTGGATGCTGGCAGGATGAACAACGAGCTTTCCAAGTGTGGAAAGAAGCAAGCGGGAAGGGCCTGGGCCAGGGGCTGGAGATCCACAGCGCCTCCGCTCACCCTGCCCACAGTGGGTTCGGGCATGAGGGAGATGAGCATGCAGCCCTGACGGAAGGCCACTTAGGACTTAGGGGGCTGGGGGTGGGGCTAAGGTGTGGTGGTGTTTGGGGCTTGCACGGAGAGAACCCAGAAGCTGGCTCGGACAGAAGCACAGGGTGCTTGGGCATGGCAAGAAAGGCTCCCCCAGAACTGGACCCTGTCGATACCTACAGCATCCCAGGCCACACCCTAGGTAGGTGCCAGGTGCCCACCTGCAGGTCGGCAGGTTGGGGGGCAGCAGGCCCCTCCAAGAACCGACTGGCACCAAAGCAGGACTGGACTTGGGCAGGGAGAAGAGCCAAGAGATGGCGTCGGCTTCAGTGAGGGATTGGGAAAAGAGCGAGAGTCCACAGGACCACGAGGAGAGAGGCACACATGTGTGCACACACAGAACGCCAGCACCCCCTAGCCAGAGACACACAGAGGACGAAGAGCGCCCATTCACCCAGCACTAGGCCGGCCCACTCTTCCTCTGAGGAGCACAAGAGGAGGAGCAGAAATGCTACGCTCCGCAATACCTGCGCTGTCCAGTAGGGAGTTGGTCTCACAGTGCCAGACCTGGGCCGGCGGAGCCCCAGGCAGGGAAACGAGGCGCAGCTGGCGTGGGCAGAGTTTCTCAGCGGAGACGTCCCGCGGCCGGGGAGGCCACGCAGGCAGCACAGGGCCCTGACCCTCTGCCGCAGCGGGACACGGCCGGAGCGTGGGCTGTGCGAGTCCCCCGCGGCCCCTCGCACGCACTTTAAATGGCGGGGTCGCGTGGTAGCTCTGTCTTTAGTGTCATGAAGGCCTGTTTTGGAGGTGGCCACGCCATCTTCCCTCCCCTTACGCTTTCTTTGCGTGTGGTACGGTCTCCGGGCCGGCGGTGAGCGTGGACATGTGCTTGTGTGCTGTTCTCGGCAGGTGGTAACCTACCTGGCGGGCTGTGGACTGCAGAGCTGCCCCCTGCTTCTGGCCAAAGGGTACCCTGACATCGGCTGGAACCCCATCGAAGGGGAGCGCTACCTGACCTTCCTGAGGTTTGCCGTCTTCGTGAACAGTGAGTCCCGTGCCTCCCGCGCTTCTCAGAACACGAGGGATGAATCACGGATGTGAATGGGGAAACAGGGGTTCTTTGTTCCGGGCATCATTTCAGGGGTGAAACTGGGGTTGTAACTTGGCAGTAGGAAATTTGCGCAGCATGCACAAGGTACTGGGTGCAATTCTTGGCAAAAAAAAAATGTTTTTAATATTTTGAGTTCTTATCACATGCCAGAGGCTACCAAGGGTCAGATAATTCCAACAAAGGCTTTACTCTTGAGGAGTGTGCAATCGAATGAGAAAAGCCGACACAAAGAAAGTCTGGAGTGGTGAGAAGACCAGGTTTCTGGGGCTCCTGTGTTCACGCCGTTGCTGAAGGGTGAGGCCATTGCTGGCATTCTCTGGGCACAGGATTCATGCCAGGGGGAGAGGAGGGGAGGTGACATTCCAGGCAGAGGAACCTTACCCAGAACCTGTAGTCAGAGTAAGAAAATAATTCCATTCCGATTAATGTCTCTGAGGCAAGCAGGAGTATTTTATTACTGGTAGTGGGAAAAATCATTTCCTCTCCATCCAGCTATGCCAGATGTCAGGCCGTGAAGGAAGGGGTAATACAGACAATGCAGAAAGCCTTTGAAGGAAAGCTCTGTGAACATTCATACTGTGATTAAGTTCATCGTTCATTTTGAAACTCAAGAGAAACATTATTGCAAGCCCTTGGGCAAAGCCAGTTTACCTCAAATCAATCTCAAGGTCATTATTCAGCTTAACCAGAGGGTGTGTGGTTGGTGTCAAGCTGGCCGAGCCGGAATGATTGATGAAGCGGTGTTCCCGCGCTTCCGAGCATGCTGTTCTCCTGCCTTGTGACGTCTTTGCAAGTTCTTCACCCTGGTCCCCGCGCTGATTATCAGTAGGAGTTGCACTTCAGATCCTTCCTCTTGCTGGGCAGTCTTGCTCTGTCTTTCCTGCAGATGTCCAAAGTCCAGTAATCAAGGAATGGCTTCCCGGTTCAGCTGTGGGAGCCAACCTCATTAGCCTTGTTCTAAAGACCTGAGACCTAGTTAAAATAAAGCTCATTGGACACAGACATTTTAAGGGAAAATTTAACACAAAGCTCTCTGACTTAGCGTTTCACGTTCTGATGCACTTTGTAGTTACGTGTCCCAAACCCTAGTCACTGAGGAGAGCTAAGCTGAATTCCACCTGCGGAAATGCTCGTGGCTCCCCCCGACCACTGCTGGGGGTGGAAAGAATCCGAAAACAGCACTTCAGTGAGCTTGAAGTTTCAAAGTTTCAGCTTTCTTCTTCTTATTATTATTACTGTTGTTATGATTTTTAAGTGGTTTTAGTTAAAAGGAGTTACAAGTCAGGTTTGGGGTACAATACTTATTGTTAGTGGCACCCCTTCCTTCATTCTCCTCCATATCCCTCTCCTGCCCCTTCCTGAAAGTTACACGGTAAGCATTATTCATACAGCGGAAAAACTACAAACTTGGCATGGTGGCACATGCCTATCATCCTGGCATTCTGGGAGCAGAGGCAGGATGACTGCAAGTTGCAGGTAGGCCTCAGTGGCAAAGAGGATTCTTTGTCTTGGAGACCCAAAAGAGAGGGGAGAAAAGGGAGGAAGGAGAAAAAGAGGGAAAGGGAGAGGAGGGAGTGGAGTGAAGAATGGGGGGAGGGCAGTCTAGGAAGATGGGCGATCGAAAGTAGTGGACTGTGGGTTGCGTCACGGGTCTGCGTGTTTGCTCTAGGACGTCTGATCCCGCTGGCTTTTCCCGAAGCGCCTTCCCTGCGCACAAGCCGTGCCGATACAGACGCCAGGCCCGAGGCCTCTCAGCCTGCGCTGACTCGCAGCATCACACGGTCTGAGCTTGCTTATAAAATGCACGGCGTCATTCCGTCTTTCTTCGGGTTTTCTCATCCTTGAATATTTACCACTTTCACCATCCTGGTCATTATTTTACCCTTTGACATCTCTGGGGAGTTTTTTTCATTTAATAAAACTAATTTTTGATGTTGTACATAATGTTGCATGACATTTGAAGACAAGCTTTTTGGGGAGACAAAACAAAAAAAAAACCCCTCAGAGCTTGCACCTGCTGGCCTGAAGCCGTACCTCCAGGGTACGGTTTGCTTGTCTTGAGAACAAGTTTTGCCGTGTAGCTCAGACTGGCTGAGAACTTGAGGTCTTCCTGCCTCTGCTTCTAGTGCTGACATTAAGTTACAGGCATCCCCCACCACACCCAACTCCCTGAAGACAAACTTTCTGTACACAACTTTTAGGTTCTTCTTAAAGAATTGAGCTATAACAGAGTGAATGGGCAGGCTGGGATGTAGCTCTGTGGCAAAGCATTTGCCTAGCAAGTGCAATGTCCCGGGTTCGATCCCTAGCACTAAAAAGTACAGTTTAAAAAAAGCGTGAATGGTCACTGATAGCTCTTTAAATTCAGCTCAATGAAAAATGGTCTGAGTCCTGTAACTTAGAATCAGGGGCTGTCTTTTGGAGGGAGAACTAAATAATTTACACACACAAACCATCTTAAGCTGCTGGTGGTGGCTATACTTGTAATCCTGATTTCAGGAGTGTGAGCTAGACTTAGTGAAGGACTTACATAATGAATAGAATATGGCAGAAGATAGAACGGAGCCCCCTGCTCCCCTCCTCTGCTTAGACATGGCTCCACCTCACAGAACCCCAAGTCTCCTGGAAGGAGGTCAGCCAGAAAGCGGCCCTGCGCCCCAGGCCTGAGCTTGGGCTGGAAGCTAGCAGGCAGCCTGTGCGGGAGGGCTGCCCCGCACGGCCCCCACTGCAGCCTCCGGCAGGTGGCCCCCAGCATGTGTCCCCCGCTCAGTCGGTCCCGAATCCCTGGCGATGGAAACTGTGGCCTAGCACGCGTGAGTTATTTTAGTCTGCTGAGGCCCGAGGCATTGTTTACACAAGAATAAACAATGCAAACGCCCATCACCATGCAGTCTCTGCTGCGTAGCCCAGTCCTCCAAGAAGTGTCTTAGGACTCTGAGCAATCATTTCTCTGGAGGTTTCCTCTAATATGCAACATCAAGGATCTTACCACAGCCGTGGAATTGTCCGTGTGAACCCCTGGTGCTGTTGGTGTGTATTTCTAAACCATAAGTCTTGCCGGGTTCTGTTCCCAGCGCCGCACTGTTTGCTCTTCTGAGTACACAGAAGAGGGTTCAACTATCTAACGAAGGAGGCAGAGGCATGCTTTGTATGTTGTTTGAGGTAGCGGTGCACCTGCTTTTGAACACACACGTGGGGTCTGAGAAACAGTGACTCCACACTAGCTCCTGACCACCCGGTCAGGAAAATGACGCTTCATCCCAAGTTCTGTACCAGCAGAACACAGACCGCACGTGGCCGTCCTGTGGAGCGTCACAGGGCACCAGCTGAAGAGCTAAGGTTAGACCCTCGCTCGGTCCCCCCCGGGAGCTAGCCTGCCCTCTGCCAGGGGCGACGGAGGACCAGAGCCGGTCAGCATCCTACCTCCATCAAGGAAGGAAAGCACCAGCGTTCCCACAGCTGTCTAGTTCTCTTAGTCACTGGTGACCAATTCCACAGCAGACCCCGAACCCTGAAAGTAGGGTGGCTAACTGGAGTGCTGCTTACCTCCTGGGAAGAGCTTCTGGGGTTCTTCCTAGTGAGGAGGAACCGTGCCCTCTCCCTCAGGTGAAAGCGTGGAGGAGAATGCCAGTGTGGTGGTCAAGCTGCTCATCCGACGGCCAGAGTGCTTCGGGCCAGCGCTGCGGGGCGAGGGAGGCAACGGGCTGCTGGCGGCCATGCAGGGCGCCATTAAGATCTCCGAGAGCCCAGCTCTGGACCTCCCCGCCCAGGGGCACAAGAGAGACGCGTAAGCGCAGGCTGCCCCTTCCCCCGGGGGGCGGGTCCCGGGACACGGAACCCCCCACCCCACATCCCCCCAGCCCCACCTCCCCCCACCCCACCCCCATGCCATGTCCCCCCACATCCCCCCCCACCCCATGTCCCCCCCCCACCCCCCACCTCCCCCCCACGCCACCCCACATCCCCCCCACCCCACCCCCCACCCCACCCCACATCCCACCCCACATCCCCCCCACCCCACCTCACATCCCCCCCACCCCCACCCCACCCCACCCCCACCCCACCTCCCCCCCACCCCCACCCCACCCCACCCCCACCCCACATCCCCCCACCCCCCACCCCACCCCACCCCCCACCCCACCCCACATCCCCCCCACCCCCACCCCACCCCACCTCCCCCCCACCCCCACCCCACCCCACCCCCACCCCACATCCCCCCCACCCCACCCCCCACCCCACCCCACATCCCACCCCACATCCCCCCCACCCCACCCCCCACCCCACATCCCACCCCACGTCCCCCCCACCCCACCCCCCACCCCACCCCCCACCCCACTCCCCACCCCCCCACCTCACGTCCCACCCACCCCCACCCCACGTCCCCCCCCACCCCCACCCCACGTCCCACCCCACCCCACCCCACATCCCCCCACCCCACATCCCACCCCACATCCCCTCCACCCCCACCCCACCTCCCCCCCACCCCCACCCCACCCCCACCCCACATCCCCCCCACCCCACACCACCTCACATCCCCCCCACCCCACCTCACATCCCCCCCACCCTACATCCCCCCACCCCACGTCCCCCCCACCCCACCCCATCCCACCTCCCCCCCACCCCCACCCCACCCCACCCCACCCCACCCCCACCCCCACCCCACCCCACCCCACATCCCACCCCACATCCCCCCCACCCCACCTCACATCCCCCCACCCTACATCCCCCCACCCCACGTCCCCCCCACCCCCACCCCACCCCACCCCACCTCCCCCCCACCCCCACCCCACCCCCACCCCCACCCCCACCCCCACCCCACACCACCTCACATCCCCACCCCACCCCACCCCACCCCACCCCCACCCCCACCCCACCCCACCCCCACCCCCACCCCCACCCCACACCACCTCACATCCCCACCCCACCCCACCCCCACCCCCACCCCCACCCCCACCCCACACCACCTCACATCCCCACCCCACCCCACCCCCACCCCCACCCCCACCCCACCCCCACCCCCACCCCACACCACCTCACATCCCCCCACCCCACATCCCCTCACCCCAACCCCCACCTCCCCCACCCCACCCCACATCCCACATCCCCCCACCCCACCTCACAACCCCCCAGCCCCACCCCACCCCATGTCCCCCCCACCCCACCCCACATCCCCCCACCCCACCCCACATCCCCCCCACCTCCCCCCACCCCACCCCACCCCCCACCTTCCCCCCACCCCCACCCCACATCCCCCCCACCCCACCCCACCCCACGTCCCCCCCACCCCACCCCACGTCCCCCCCACCCCCACCCCACATTCCACCCACCCCCACCCCACGTCCCACCCACCCCACCCCACCCCCACCCCAACCCACGTCCCACCCACCCCACCCCACGTCCCACCCACCCCACCCCACCCCATGTCCCCCCCACCCCCACCCCACATTCCACCCACCCCCACCCCACGTCCCACCCACCCCCACCCCACATTCCACCCACCCCCACCCCACATCCCCCACCCCATCCCCCACCCCCCCACCCCACCCCCCGTCTAAGGGGAAGAAGGTTCCAGTTGTTTCCACTGGCTGTTGAAACATTCACATTATGGCCTTGGCTCTTGTAGCGCGCACAGCAGTTAGCACCGGCCCCTTCCGTTTCCTGCCCGGCTCCGCCCGAGTCAGACCCCCGCATGTGCCCCGAGCCCTCTCACAGCGTGCCCAGGGACGGAAGCCTTGGTCACAAGGGCGCCATCGCTGTCCGACTCTGCACGCCTCCGCGCTGGCTCCCTCCTTCTCTCCCGAAAAGATGGGCCTCACTCAGCAGAACTCCTGCTGCTCTAGTTTGATTCCTCAGCACAGAGAGCCGCTGCGGACTGCGGGAAGTCGGAGCACGGATAAGTTCGTTGTTTCAGGGCTGTGGTTTGAGGGCGATGGCTTCCCGGATCGTAGCTACGACCCTTCACAGCCCCTGGGCTGGACCTCAGCACCCGCAGAGTGAACTCAGCGGGGCCGCCCCCAGGCAGTCTATTTTCCACTTGCAATAGGGACTTTGTAGACTGGAAAATTCCAAAACCTAGCTGTCCAAGGACCAGGCATGGCGGCACGGGTGGCCCACGGTGGCCAGTGTGTACCAGGCAGAGATTGGGCAGAGTGTGATCGGAGACCAGCCAGGCCAACCGTGTGAACTTTCCATTCCAGCAAAAGCCCTTAGTAAGGGGAAGGTAGTGGAGGCTGGGCCTAGGGAAAAGCTTAAGACCATATCCAAAAAATAACAAAAGCAGAAGCTAGGAGTACGGCCTGATCAACAAGTCTGAGACCTGAGTTCAAACCCTAGCGCTGCCAGAAGTACAGACAGTGTCCCGAGTCCCCCTGTAACACGGGGGAAACCGAGTCTGGCCATCCTACAAGCTGCTAGCACAGCCGGGTGAACCTAGGGGTCTCCGTGTGCACTGTGACAGCGCCAGCTTCTGTGCTGAGGGGCCTTTCCGGAGCTGAGCGCAGCCAGGCTCACCCCGGGTCCATTCTGTCTCCACAGCTCAGAGGGCGACGAAGAGGAGGACGCGGTCGTGCACATGGGCAATGCGGTCATGTCCTTCTATTCTGCTCTCATCGATCTCCTGGGCCGCTGTGCTCCTGAGATGCACGTAAGTGGAGAGACCGGCTCTGCGGAGCCGCCGCCTGGTGGGCACACTGCGGCCTGCGCGGGCACACTGCGGCCTGGGCGGGCACACTGCGGCCTGGGCGGGCACACTGCGGCCTGGGCGGGCACACTGCCGCCTGGTGGGCACACTGCGGCCTGCGTGGACACACTGCGGCCTGCGCGGGCACACTGCGGCCTGCGTGGGCACACTGCGGCCTGGGCGGGCACACTGCGGCCTGCGTGGACACACTGCTGAGCCGCAGCCTGCGTGGGCACACTGCGGCCTGGGCGGGCACACTGCGGCCTGCGTGGACACACTGCGGCCTGGGCGGGCACACTGCGGCCTGGGCGGGCACACTGCGGCCTGGGCGGGCACACTGCGGCCTGCGTGGGCACACTGCGGCCTGGGCGGGCACACTGCGGCCTGGGCGGGCACACTGCGGCCTGGGCGGGCACACTGCTGAGCCGCAGCCTGCGTGGGCACAGGGGATTTGGTGGACGCAGCCTCTCGCGCTATGCCTGGCCTTGCTCACGTGCTTTTCCCTGGGTTCCTTTTACCTGAGGTCATCGTTGTTTCGTGGTCAATGAGTGAAAGTTCAGTTTTCTAAGGCAAGACTCCTGAGCGCGTGCTGTGTGTGTGTGCGCCTCCTCTGTGCAGTGCTCCTGAGCACATGCTCTGTGTGTGTGCGCCTCCTCTGTGCAGTGCTCCTGAGCACATGCTGTGTGTGTGTACGCCTCCTCTGTGGCACTGACTGGCCATGTCTTGTGCACATTGTACCTCAAAAGCCTCCCCACACTGTGTTTCCACATGCCTGTTAGGGATGAGTGCCCCGATTCTCCACTGGGGCCATCTGGAAAGACTCATGCAGGACATGGAGATCTGCTTTACCTGAGGCCAGGGGCACTGGCCCCGGAAAGCAGTCTCCCAGAAGTAGAACTTTGCGCAGTGCGGCAGGGTAGCCTCCCGGAATCCATGTCTGGCAGTGGAAGGGGGGTGCGGTCACCGCTGACAGCCCACCGTCCCCCCGACTCCCCTCCCTCCCTCCTGTGGAAAGCGGGCAGCGCCAGGCAGGGCCCCGACGCTGTCACGCCCCCCGGCCAGCACGCACAGGGCCCAGCAGCTCACCTGCTGCAGCGGGACCCGGCGCGCCGGAGCGCTCGGCTCTGCCACAGAGCGGGGCCATTACCCCAGTTCAGCGGCCACACGCACACGACCTGCACACGCTTGCTGCTTGTCCGTGGGTGTCCGACCTGGAGTGAGCCCCGCGAGACTCTCCAGCGCTCCCCGACATTCTCCACTGCGGCCCCAGACTTATTCCACACACTGGGAAATGGAAATGGGGGAGCCATGTCCACACTCGCTGTAACACGGGCCACGTCCACACTCGCTGTAACACGGGCCACGTCCACACTCGCTGTAACACGGGCCACGTCCACACTCGCTGTAACACGGGCCACGTCCACACTCGCTGTAACACCGGCCACGTCCACACTCGCTGTAACACCGGCCACGTCCACACTCGCTGTAACACCGGCCGTGTCCACACTCGCTGTAACACCGGCCACGTCCACGCTCGCTGTAACACCGGCCGTGTCCACACTCGCTGTAACACCGGCCACGTCCACACTTGCTGTAACACGGGCCACGTCCACACTCGCTGTAACATGGGCCACGTCCACACTCGCTGTAACACCGGCCGTGTCCACACTCGCTGTAACACGGGCCACGTCCACACTCGCTGTAACGCCGGCCGTGTCCACACTCGCTGTAACACGGGCCGTGTCCACACTCGCTGTAATGTCAGCCACGTCCACAATCGCTGTAACACGGGCCACGTCCACACTCGCTGTAATGTCAGCCACGTCCACACTCGCTGTAACGCCGGCCGTGTCCACACTCGCTGTAACATGGGCCACGTCCACACTCGCTGTAACACGGGCCACGTCCACACTCGCTGTAACACGGGCCACGTCCACACTCGCTGTAACACCGGCCACGTCCACACTCGCTGTAACATGGGCCACGTCCACACTCGCTGTAACGCCGGCCGTGTCCACACTCGCTGTAACACAGGCCGTGTCCACGCTCGCTGTAACGCCGGCCGTGTCCACACTCGCTGTAACACGGGCCACGTCCACACTCACTGTAACACGGGCCACGTCCACACTCGCTGTAATGTCAGCCACGTCCACAATCGCTGTAACACGGGCCACGTCCACACTCGCTGTAATGTCAGCCACATCCACACTCGCTGTAACGCCGGCCGTGTCCACACTCGCTGTAACACGGGCCACGTCCACACTCGCTGTAACGCTGGCCGCGTCCACACTCGCTGTGACCCTAGCGTCCTGGGCACGTGGTCGTGAGCGCATCCTGGCCTGACTCGTCTTGGGGGTCAGGGAGCCACTTCCTAGGTCTCATGCCACAGTCACATGACCACTTCACCCTCCGCAGAGGAAGCGCGTGGCCTCCTTTGGCAACGTCATCCCTTAGTGGTCCCTTCTCTGCAGAATTCAGAGAAAGCTTCTCTCTGGACAAAAGTGTCTAGTAACTAAGGGGACATGGCGTTGATCCCCTACCTTGAAGGAAGGTGCTTGGAGGTGGGGTGGGGTGTGTGGGGCATGGGAGCTTGGTCCATATACCCTCTCTCTCCTACAATAGCTCATCCAGGCAGGAAAAGGGGAAGCCATCCGAATCCGGTCCATCCTGCGCTCCCTGGTGCCCACAGAAGACCTGGTCGGGATCGTCAGCATTCCCCTGAAGCTCCCCTCTCTGAACAAAGGTATGGACGCAGCCGGGACGGGACGGCCTGCCAGGCCGCAGCAGCTCCCGGGGCCGTGGGCCCAGACACGGCCCTGCCAGGCCGCAGCAGCTCCCGGGGCCGTGGGCCCAGACACGGCCCTGCCAGGCCGCAGCAGCTCCCGGGGCCGTGGGCCCAGACACGGCCCTGCCAGGCCGCAGCAGCTCCCGGGGCCGTGGGCCCAGACACGGCCCTGCCAGGCCGCGGCAGCTCCCGGGGCCGTGGGCCCAGACACGGCCCTGCCAGGCCGCGGCAGCTCCCGGGGCCGTGGGCCCAGACACGGCCCTGCCAGGCCGCGGCAGCTCCCGGGGCCGTGTGCCCAGAGACCGCCCTGCCAGGCCACAGCAGCTCCCGGGGCCGTGGGCCCAGACACGGCCCTGCCAGGCCGCAGCAGCTCCCGGGGCCATGTGCCCAGAGACCGCCCTGCCAGGCCGCAGCAGCTCCCAGGGCCATGGGCCCAGACACAGCCCTGCCAGGCCGCAGCAGCTCCCGGGGCCATGGGCCCAGAGACCGCCCTGCCAGGCCGCAGCAGCTCCCGGGGCCATGGGCCCAGAGTTGGCCCTGCCAGGCCGCAGCAGCTCCCGGGGCCGTGTGCCCAGAGACCGCCCTGCCAGGCCGCAGCAGCTCCCGGGGCCGTGGGCCCAGACACAGCCCTGCCAGGCCGCAGCAGCTCCCGGGGCCGTGTGCCCAGAGACCACCCTGCCAGGCCGCAGCAGCTCCCAGGGCCGTGGGCCCAGAGACCACCCTGCCAGGCCGCAGCAGCTCCCAGGGCCGTGGGCCCAGAGACCGCCCTGCCAGGCCGCAGCAGCCTCCCGGGCCGTGTGCCGGGGGCCCCAGGGAGTGTGGTGATTAATGGGTGCGTGTCTGCCACAGTCTTGGATAGGATCATACAGGGTTTTCCCCAGCGCTATTTTGACCTTAGAAATCTCTGCAAAACTCTCCAAACCACCTTGATTACATCATCTGCACCACAGAATAGAAAAGAGCATGCCACCACGGTAGTGTTTCCTACACTGACGTTCTGTGGAGCAGCTTTGCCACAGGTATTGATAGGTGTTCGTGTTAGTAGAGGTGGGGTAAGTTTGGAAAATAGACTGTGATGCTTTACAGCTTCATGAAGCACAGAAAGATGACAGTGTGTCTGAGGAAGCACACCATAAAGAGGACAGAATTTGAACTCCGTGTTTCTTAAGCACGTTGTGTTTTCTTAGCACAAAATGCTTGAAAGAATCCCACAAAGAATGACGATACTCAAAGCACAGAGATGTGTGCGATGGAGTTGCAGGGCCCGCTCGGGCCCGGCCCCTGGCTGAGCAGCGGGGGTCGGAGGCAGGCGGCCCCCACGCCCGGCCCCTGGCTGAGCAGCGGGGTCGGAGGCAGGCGGCCCCCACGCCCGGCCCCTGGCTGAGCAGCGGGGTCCGCAGGCAGGCGGCCCCCACGCCCGGCCCCTGGCTGAGCAGCGGGGTCGGAGGCAGGCGGCCCCCACGCCCGGCCCCTGGCTGAGCAGCGGGGTCGGAGGCAGGCGGCCCCCACGCCCGGCCACGCCCGGCCACAGCCCTGCATCTCTCGCGATGTGCACACCTCTACAGGGCTTGTGGAATAAACAGAACAAGAGAACGTTGGGTTTGTTTCTGCCTTGATTTCCAGATCAAGCACTTTTGATTTACTTTGTGGGATCTTCCCTTTATCTTTGGACTTCTTAAATTAAGGCTAGAATTCTTAGATAATCTAGGTGTCACCTACGTCAGAAAGCCGTTTCCAGATGTTTCCTTGGGGATGTGTTACGGAATAACGGCTGTAGACACGGCACGCTGTTGAAGTCACCCTGTCTTTATTAACGTTTTATCCCTCTTTTTCTGTTTGTTTGTTTTTGAGACAGGGATTCATAACCAGCTGGCCCAGAGCTCATTACTTAACCCAGGCTGGCCTAACACTTACCACCCCCCACAGGAGCTTCCGAGGCTGGGGTTAGAGACCCGTGCCACTGTCCCCTGCTCAGTCCTCACGTTCTAATGCCATCACCCAACCACGCAGTAATCGAGCCCTGATTTCTAGTATCTGCCTATTTCTGTAGTGTGAATATTCTCACCACGGCTGACTTCTTGCTACCATACTGGATACAAACAACCTCAAATGTAGTTTATAGTAAACAAATTGGGAACATGAATTACATTATTTGTTACCTTTTATGTATAACTTAATTCTAAAATGGCATGTTTGGTAATGGACACATTTAATCACTGATTCTTTTTTAACAATTGGCTCTGTCCACCCAGTATAAGGCGGTACCAGGACAGCAATGTTATTTCTAGAATTCATGTTGCTCATTAGAACAAGTATTGGCAGTAAGTTCCGTGTTGCCTTTTGAAAATGTAAATAGAAAAAGGGAAATGTTGTCTCCTGTCTTTCAGACGGGTCGGTCAGTGAACCAGACATGGCAGCCAACTTCTGCCCCGACCACAAGGCACCCATGGTGCTGTTCCTGGACCGTGTGTATGGTGTTGAGGACCAAGCTTTCCTGCTGCACCTGCTGGAGGTTGGGTTTTTACCTGACCTGAGAGCCTCTGCCTCTCTAGATACAGTAAGTGGTTAAAATAAGCAAAGAAGCGTTGCCTGCACTGCGTGATTAACAGCTTGAGCTGAGACGCTCTTCACTCTGCATTCTCACTGGCTGCACATGCATTTTCATTTACCAACCGAGGGGTGGAACTCGGGGCTCACTCCTGTTCAGCTTGCTCGCTCACAGCTGCTACCATACCTCCAGTCCAACGTTTTTGCTGATACATTGGGGATGGAGTCTTCTAGACCTTTTTGCCTGGCTGGTGGAGCCACTCTCCTCTAGATGTCAGACTCAGAAGGTGTGAGCATGGCAGGCATTACTGCCAGTGCTCCTCTACTTGCCGATTTCATTTGAATAGCCTGCTTTTCAGAGTGACAGCAAAGAGGCACCAAGAACCTGAAGACCTTAATGTATTGGGCAGAGCTGAGACACGTCGATGAATTCAACCTCACTCGCAGCGTTTCTAAACTGTGGCATTATTTTTTGTGGGGAACTGTCCTGTTCAGAGTTGAACATTTAGCAGTGTCCCTGGTCTTTTCCCATTAGATGCCAGTAGCGCCCAACTCCCTGCTCGACCACCACTTCCCAGACCAATTGCAGATATCAGAAAGACTCACCTCTGGAGGAAGCGCGGCTCTCTTGCTCATGGAAGAGGCTGACTGGTGGCTTTGCAGTGCAGATGCTCTTCCTGCTCCACTCAGGGAGAACAGATCTGTAACCAGAAACATGAGCCACATGCGTGCCAGAGGCCAAGGGAAATGTGGGTTTGGAAATCAAGGCTGCAGTACAGCAATCGGGCATCTATAGACACTAAGAAAGAAGTCCAGCTATTAGAGATGCCAACTGCCACACATCAGGATGAAGCAGAAAGACAGTGTACCCAAAGTCCTGTGACCTAGAGGAAAAGACAGGCTACCTCATTTTGATTCTGAAATGATTTTACTGGGATGATTAGGGAGAGAATGTTCCAAGGGGCGGCACCGGGGGCTCACGCCTGTCATCCTAGCTACTCAGGAAGCTGAGATCTGAGGATTGCAGTTCAAACCAGCCCGGGCAGGAAAGTCCATGAGACTCTTATCTCCAATAAGCCATCAGAAAACCAGAAATGGCACGGTAGCTCAAGTGGTAGAGCGCTCGCCTTGAGCTGAAGAGCTGAGGGACAGCGCCCAGGCCCAGAGTTCAGGCCCCACGACCAACAATAAAAGGGGGGGTGGCACTGATCAAGAAGCATTGTACATATAAATTAATGTGGAATTGAAACATTTTGTACAGCTACGTAAAGGTAATTGAACGTAAGTACACAAGACCATCTTAGCAATGCAGACTGCTGTGTGAGTCGGATCCACATGTGCGTGTGCACTCACGCATACACACACCAGACACAGCCTGAGAGAGAGGTAAGCAGCCAGCACCTTAGCTGGATGGATTTCCTTTGGGTTGCCCAGGGATTATGGAAGTCCTTCCCTAGTGGAGCTTAGCGCAGGACTAGAGAGATCTGTTTGAGCTGTGGACGTGGGGCGTCATGGAGCAGTAAAGGTGTTGGACCACATGACGCTTTCCTATTTAAATCCACGCCTCCATCACACTTTTGCTTTGAGTTATTTTCTGAATCACTAGGTTAACAAAAAAAAAGTTAGCTGAACCTGGTGGCTCACACCCAGCTACTCAGGAGGCTGAGGTCTGAGGCTCAGGTTTGAAGCCAGCCCCAGCAGGAAAGTCTGTGAGACTCCTATCGCCTGGTAACTACCAGAAAAGCCAGGCGTAGAGTCACAGCCTTGAGGGGGGAAAAAAAAAAACAAGCTCAGGGATAGAGCCCAGGCCCTGAGTTCAAGCCCCGGGGCTGGCACCAAAAGGAAAAAAATTAAGCTGGGCGCCAGCAAATCACACCTGTTTTCCTAGCTACCCAGTGGCTGAGCCCCAAGGGCTGTCAGTCCAAGGCCGTGGAGACAGGAATGCCCATTGACTCCATCTCCAACTACCAGCAAAACACTTGGTCTGGAGGTGTGGCTCAAGGAGTTAGAGCAACAACGGTGAGAGAAAAAATAAAGCCTGAGGCTGAACTTTGCTCATAATACCAGCACAAAAGAGAAGAAAGGAGCTTGGCCAAGTCCCCGTGTTTCACGGTTAAAGCAGTTGCTTGTTTGCTTATACATCGCAGAACAAATGCTTTTCCACCTAGTATTCAGTTGCTCAAGAACCATCGGAAACAAACAATGTCTCTATTGAGATCCTGTACCAAGAGGCAGTCATGCATCTCATTTTAACACTTTTAAGCCATTGGAATCAAAGCTCTGCTTTCCTCATTTTACCTTCTCTGACAATGAAAGTGAGACCCATGAGCGATGAGACTTTTTTCAGTGTGATTGCTAACGCTGCTAGATGAACTGATACGAGCAGTGTACAGTTCAAAGGAAGCAGCTTTTCAAGTCGTAAGTTATGGAAAATGTGTTACAGATCTAATTGCCCTGATAATGATGGAAAATAACGATAACGTCTTATCTTTGCGAATCTAAAGGTTTCTTTTGAACTTCTGCCGTTTTCAAAGGTGGTAGTCAGTCACACTTGGTCTATAGTTAGTGTCACTGAATGGGTTTCTCTTGAATTCTGTCTAAGTGAACAAAAGGGAACTTTGTGAGGGAGAATTATCCCCGCGTTGTAGAGAAGGTCCCAGATTTCTGTTCCTTTTTCCCACGAAGATCGGTGACCGCTTTAGTGGGATGTATCTCAGGTCACCTCTCAGCTTGTGGACTGCTCACAGTGCTTACAAATCAGTTGACAAGGGTCTGAGACACTTTCTCTTTGTAAAGCTGTCACCAAACTGGTGGATTTAAGGGACCTTTGGACCTTTAACCATTTCTTAATCCTCAAATTCCCAAAGGAGAATGTGTGAATCTCCATAATGTGAAAACGGAGAACTAAGGCCAGGGTAATAATGTAGCAGCCTGGCATCTGTATTGGCAGCCGAGGTGTTGGATTCAACTGGCCACGAGTTCACCAGTTCTAGTGGATCATGCTTTAATCCCAGCTACTCAGGAGGCTGAGATCCCAAGAGTTGTGGTTCAAGGCCAGTCCAGGCAGAACTTAGGAGAGTCCATCTCCAAAGTAACCAGAAGAGGGTCAGAGCGAGCGCGTGGCTCACGTGGTAAAGTACCAGCTGAGCAACCAAGGGAGGCAGCCACAGCTTGCTGAGCCCATAGTTCAACACAAATGGGCAACCAACGCTGGCCGCTCCGCTGGGGATGCAGCCATCTTGGGCCATTTGCTTTTTGTGTCGTTTTTCTTTTCACTTTTTTCTGTTTTGTTGGATTTCTACCCGCTGACCGGGTAGGAAGTCCCTGGCTCTGTTTCTGTGAAGCGCGGGTGTGTTTCACTTCCCAGTCTGAAGCTCCGAAGCTCACAGAAAACAGGGTGACCCGCGCCGCCTTCCGAGAGACAGGGTGACCCGCGCCGCCTTCCGAGAGACAGGGTGACCCGCGCCGCCTTGAGAGAGACAGGGTGACCCGCGCCGCCTTCCGAGAGACGGGGTGACCCGCGCCGCCTTGAGAGAGACAGGGTGACCCACACCACCTTCCGAGAGAGACAGGGTGACCCGCGCCGCCTTCCGAGAGACGGGGTGACCCGCGCCGCCTTCCGAGAGAGACAGGGTGACCCACACCGCCTTCCGAGAGACAGGGTGACCCGCGCCGCCTTCCGAGAGACAGGGTGACCCGCGCAGCCTTGAGAGAGACAGGGCGACCCGCGCCGCCTTCCGAGAGAGACAGGGTGACCCGCGCCACCTTCCGAGAGAGACAGGGCGACCCGCACTGCCTTCCGAGAGAGACAGGGTGACCCGCGCCACCTTCCGAGACTAACCCGCGCCTGCCCGCCCCCAGGTGACCCTCAGCACCACGGAGGCCGCGCTGGCCCTGAACAGGTACATGTGCTCCGCCGTGCTCCCGCTCCTCACGAGGTGTGCTCCTCTCTTTGCCGGGACGGAGCACCACACCTCCCTCATCGATTCCACGCTGCAGACAATATACAGGCTTTCCAAGGGACGGTCTCTCACCAAAGCCCAGAGGGACACCATAGAAGAATGCTTGCTCGCCATTTGCAAGTAAGTGTTTCTCCTCCCCGTTCGGACTGTCCACCTATCCATGAAAATGCACGTAGTCATCTAGAGGCTGGTGAGAGGGTCTGAGAGGCGCCTGGCCTTCCCTGCACACCGCCTTTCCCCAGACATTTCCTCTCATGTGTCTCCATAGCTCTGCTCTTCTTAATGCCCAGCTCCTCCTAGAGGGGCGAGGGGCTGCTCAGGCTGTGGCCCACGGAGTGACAGCCTGGGCTCTTTGGTGCGTGAAGTGTTCAGATTATGAAGTAATGGTTTCGTTCTCAGGATAGAGCCAGGACACTGTTCCGTCCTCCAAAAGAGACCATATTCTAAGTGTGAATCAGAGTGGGCCACATTCAGGTCTCCCAAGACCTTGTGCAGAGGCAAGACCTCTCGATGCGGTGGGGAGTTAGAACATGGCTTTCCACCGCTGCAGGTGGATATTAGAGCCAGCCCAGAAAAAAGGGCCCTGGGCTCTTAGGAATCTATATCAAGACTGGTAGGGTCAAAGGGTGAGGAGTCCTTTAATAGCATATGTCCCGGCATGTGCAAGCCCTATGACCTGCTGTTTTACACCAGTGATTTTCCTCTGCAGATGCAGATTGGCATCACCTGATAAGCTGCTAGATATCTAGTTCCCAGGCCAGCCTCCATACACAGCGTTCTCAGGGATTGGAGTCTAGGATTCTGGCTTTGGAAGCTCTCCGTATAATTGCGATACTCAGCCAAAAAGGGGAAGGACCTGGGAACAGGCCTGATTCTTGTCGGAGGTGATGCTTCCCAGATGTACATCTGGTGCTAGGGCTGCTGAGAAGAAAACCCAGCAGCCATCTTAGAACGTCCCATTAAAGGCCACCTTAGCAATGAGACATCACAACCTCCCTTTTGGAAAAGCCCAACTACTAAGGATACAAATATTGGCAAAGATGGGACACCAGAACCCCCACTCACTAAGGGAAATACAAAAAGGTTAGCCACCATAGCAGCTGGTCTAGAAAAGCTAAACACATACAGGTGCCCTCCATTTTACAGCACACAGCAACCACTTTCGTAGCATTGGCAGAAGGAATGGTTCCACCCATTTTCCAGTGGCTCCTAAGACCACATCAAAGGACACAATTAGATTAATTAATCAGATTAATCACAATTAAATTTTAAAATCTGTTTTTTTTAACAAACACCATGTTATCCAGTCATATGATCCTTGGTATTTACCCAAAGGAGTTGAGGACTTGCATCATACACAAACATAGCTGCACATATGTATTTAGATCATTTGTATGCATAATTAGCAAAATATAGCAGCAAGCTGTTGTTCAGTAGGTGATGCAAAAACCAAAACTGCACCAAATCCAGGCAATGGGTTATTCACTGCTCAAAAGAAATGAGCCATCAGGCTGTGGAAAGACATGAGTGAACCTGAAACGCTGAGTAAAAGAAGCCAATATGCAAAGGCTATTGTAAGACCCCCCCAGCCGTGGAGGTAGAATAGCAGGGAGGGGAAATGCTTTCTATGACGGTAGGCATGTCCTTAGATGCTGTGTAGTATATGTGCCTGCCACTGGGTGGCGGCAGACTCCGTGTAGGCCGCTGCCAGCCTCCTCTTGTGCAGAATGCCCAGGGATTCGTGGTCGTCAGCGATGGCCGTACAGCTGTCTGCCCGCAATCCCGGCCTTCAGTGTGCACTGACCCTGCTCGGTGATTAGAATGTATCTGCAGGTGTCCCAGCTGAATAGACCTTTCTGCGTTGTAGCCGCGTGTCCATGCTTTGTGTTTAACCACTGCTTAGCCCCGAGGTGGGCGTCCTCCTGTCTTTCCTTTGCTGTTGCTCTGGCTCACCTCCTCCGCCCTTTCTGTTGCTCCCGCTCCGTGCTGCAGTCACTTGAGGCCCTCCATGCTGCAGCAGCTCCTGAGGCGCCTGGTCTTCGATGTGCCACAGCTCAATGAGTACTGCAAAATGCCTCTAAAGGTGAGCATCACCCTCCACGCCCAGGAAGCCGGCCTCAGCGCCATCGTCACAGCGTAGGGCAGGGCGGGTGGGCACCACCCCCTCCACAGGTCGAAGCCCTTCTTCAGTACCCAGGTCAAGAGGGGAGATTTCTCACATTAACTGCTCACCTTGTCTTTTTTTTTTCCAGCTATGTGGCTTGAACTCGGCCTGGGCGCTGTCTCTGCGCTCTTCAGCTCAAAGCTAGCGCTCTACCACTTGAGCCACAGCACCACTTCCAGTTTTCTGGTGGTTTATTGGAGATAAGAGTCTCACGGACTTTCTTGCCCGGGCTGGCTTTGAACTGTGATCCTCAGATCTCAGCCTCCTGGGCAGCTAGGATTACAGGCATGAGCCACTGATGCCCAGCTTCAACTTGTCATTTTTTAACTTGTCATATTTATTACTTTAGCAGAGGCTTTTACACTTCCCTGCTCTACTTAGGTTGCCAAAATATTTCCAGCCTTAAAAATCTTTGAGAACTGGGAATGTGCCTTCGTGGTAGAGTGCTTGCCTAGCATACATGAAGCCCTGAGTTCAATTCCTTAGCACCACATTAACTGGAAAAGCTGGATGCCGGGCGCTGGTGGCTCACCCTGTCATCCTAGCTACTCAGGAGGCTGAGATCTGAGGATCATGGTTCAAAGCCAGCCTGGGCAGGAAAGTCCGTGAGACTCTTATCTCCAATAAACCACCAGAAAACCAAAAGTGGTGCTGTGGCTCAAGTGGTAGAGTGCTAGCCTTGAGCATAAAAGAAGCTCAGAGACAGTGTTCAGGCCCAGAGTTCAAGCCCCAGGACTGGAAAAAAAGAATCTTTGAAAGCTCGGTAGTTTATCCTTCAAAAGGACTAAAATGTCCCTCTTCTGCATTGTTTTATTCTTTTATCTTGTAAATCCTCCTCTTTGTCTTAATTTTTTTAATTCTTTTTTTAGAAAGTACGGAGCCTTTCTTTTTTTGTTTGTTTCTGGTTTTCCCTTAGTTGTAGACAGTTTATTCTGGCTCCTGGAGCCAGAATCAGCCACAGCCCAGGAGGACAGTGGTGCACGCCCCGTGCCATCCTAAAATCCAGGCATCAGCAGAGACCAGTCACACCTGAAAATGAAGGCCCTGCTTAGTGACATTCACAGACCTCTTCTGTCCTTAAGACATAGTTCAGGCAAGGACGTAAGGAAACGTTCTGTGGGGTAAACAGCGTTCCCAGAGGCTTTGGTTCAGTCTCCTTGCAGGCTCCAAGGCTCCCGGCCCCTCTCCCCCCACCCAGCAATCTCAGATGACTCACACGAGGTATTCGGGTTGGTGACTTGCGTCCATTCCCAGTCAGCCTCATGCTAACTCATGAGAGACATTGCTGGTCATGCTGGTATCAGAAAACTCAGGGGATGTGGTCCCACCCACTGGGAAAGGGTGTTACCAGGGCACTTCTGCCCTCCACTGGGGAAAGGTGGAATTGCTGCCACATCACAGAGAGGCTCCGCAGCCGGGAGCCATAATTAAATGCAGAGAAAACCTTCACAGCCACAACTTGCTGCCCACCATCCCCTCTCCATGTCAGCGTCCCCAGGATCTTCCAGAGCCACAAGCACAGGTCTCAGGAGAATCCTCCCCACGCCCGCTGGCTGGCCCAGCACTCACAGACCACGGGCAGAAGGGATGGTTCCACTCCATGTCCTAGTGGCTCCTAGGACCACATCCAAGGACACAAGAGCTAGCCAGGCAGCTGCGGCTCAGGCAGGGGCTCATTAGTCCCACGCGCAGACCCTTCCCGCGCCGCCCGGAGGGGCCCCGGGTGCTTGGAGTGTGGGTTTGTCCTTAGGATCTCTGCATGCTGTTTTATTCTCCCCTGACGGCTCGTGGCGCGTGGATGCTTCCCACCTCCTGCTCTGTGCATCCCAGCTTCTGACAAGCCACTATGAGCAGTGCTGGAAGTATTACTGCCTCCCTGCGGGATGGGGAGGCCACGGGCTGGCTGTGGAAGAGGAGTTGCACCTCACCGAAAAGCTCTTCTGGGGGATCTTTGACTCCCTCTCCCGCAAGGTAACGTCAGTGCGTCCTACACAGACATAGGCCCTGGGAGACCCAGGGGCAGAGAGAGAGGGGGGACAAGGGACTTGAGGCACTCAAAAAGTAACACCAGAGAGGAACCATCAGAGTAAAGCACGAAAATCCCTCCTGACGTCCCTCCCTCCTCTTTTTCCTCCTGCTGAGCCTTTGCCAAACACTAGCAAGAGGAGGAGTCTGGGCATCTGCTCTGCTGTTGGGCCATGAGACATTCAGACTGGGGCTGCTGGGGAGGGCCTGCCAGACCCCCGTCCACGGAGGAGGTGGGGACCAGCGCAGAGCCGCTAACCCCCAAACCTTTCAGGACAGTGACTGAGATGGAGCTTGCTCTGTGTCCAGTGCGTCTAGATGTGGGAAGTCAAGAGCTCTAAAGGATAAAAATGCATGGTTTTCTCCAAGGATGAGTACAGCTAGCTTCCCGAGATGTACTTAAATTTACCTGTTTAGATCAGATGAATTGACAGCAGTTTATCCCCAGCTGGGTTCAGTAGAAAGCAGATAAGGTACTGAGCCGTTTGCTGCTGATCCTGACACATATCAGCTACTGTGACGCAAAGCAGAGCGTGCATGCTCTCTCTGGTCCTAGAGCCTCCTGTGCCTTCTCTGTCTCAAGTAGGGTCTGTTCTTGCATCGTTGAACAGACCAGGGTCTTCTGGCCTAATGCAAACCATGCTAACTTAATATACTCTTGAGATTATTCAAGAAGAAATTAAACTTTAATAAGGACGTGACGTTTTCTGTCAGTGTGGCGGTACTCATGTCTGATGTTGGTAGTCAGTGGGTAAGCGATTAGTTCTGCCTCTCGGCCACCATTTGACTTTTACTATTAAGGTTGTCTCTGCTTCTTCCCAGAAGTACGACCCGGACCTTTTCCTCATGGCCCTTCCCTGTCTCAGCGCCATTGCCGGGGCTTTGCCGCCAGATTATCTGGACACCCGGATCACAGCCATGTTGGAGAAACAGGTCTCAGTGGATGCTGATGGCAACTTTGACCCCAAGCCCATCAACACGATGAAGTGAGTCCAGTCCTCCCCAAGCTGGCCGTCCCTGTGGTCCTGAGCCAGTGCCTTCCTCTCAGAACACATTCCCTCTTTCCCTGTTCATTGTCTGTCCACATCTGAGGACGAGACATTTTTTTGTTTCTGGGCTTTTTAATGGAGTAGGGTCGGTTTAACAAAAGAAGTAGATGCATTCATAAATAAACGTTAACCAAGACATTGTGAGAACCAGTCCAGCAAATGATGCAATTGATTTATCAATGCGCTTTTTGACACAATCTTTGCTCTTTGTTAATTCAGCCTGTAGAGACATCATTGTGTCACACATAGCCAGGTGCTGGTGGCTCACGCCTATAATCCTAGCTACTCAGGAGGCTGAGATCTGAGGATCACGGTTCAAAGCCAGCCTAGGCAGAAAAGTCCCCATGATACTCTTTATTTCCAATTAACCTCTCAAAAACCAGAAGTGGAGCTGTGGCTCAACGTGACAGAGCTCTACCCTTGAGCACTTTGGCTCAGGGACAGCGCCCAGGCCCTGAGTTAATGCCCCATAACCAACCAATAATAATAACAAAATGAAACAGCTCGTATATGACACTCAGCTGAGCCGTACAGGGCCTCGAATGATGAGCTGAGCAGGTGGGGTCTTTATTAGGGTTGGATCTGCTTCCTGCCATAGAGAGGGATGCTAGAACATAGCACTAATTCCACAATCATGCCTTTTAGCTCATGCACAGCAGCTACCTGTAATTCCTCATTGATGCTCATTAGGCCATGATGTCTTTACCTTTGGGCAAAATTGCTTTGTGTTGGTTTGTGGCATTCCCCCCAGCCACGAACGTGTGTCATGGGACAGCCTAGAATCATCACAAGGTGCATGGTAAATGAAGAGCCCCAAGACTACTTCAGAGGGAACCGGGGAACTGGTCCCACACGAGCCCCGTAGGCTTCTGCCTGGTGACAGCTGTGCTCAATGAGAGCCAAACCTTCCCAGAGGCGGCTTCGGCTTTGATGCGCACGAAACTCATCTTCGGGTGATTAAGTGCGCACTCCATCGGACACAGATTTGAACCGGGAGGTAGAATTATGTCTCCTGTGAGAAAAGGTAAAAGGGAGTAAGAAAACTCTGAGCAGGTGAAGAAGAAGGCAGGCACTGGATCTGAAGAACTCTGTATGCATGCCCAAGGCTATGTGGCCCAGCAGCATGGGTGCTTTTATTGTTTGTTCTTGTTTTTGGTTGTGGGTCCTGAACTCTGGGCCTGGGCACTGTCCCTTGCGCTTTTCAGCTCAAGGCTAGCGCTCTGAGCCACAGCACCACTTCAGGTTTTCTGGTGGGTCATTAGAGATAAGAGTTTCACGGACTTTCTTGCCCAGGCTGGCTTTGAGCTGAGATCCTCAGATCTCAGCCTCCTGAGTAGTTGGGATGACAGGTGTGAGCCACTGGCGCCCAGTTTAGGTGTTTTGTTTTCTTTTTAAATATGGACAATAAGACATGAAACTGGAAGTTGTGTACTAGCGATGAGTGGTTCCACATACGTTTGAGAGTTCTGGTTCTTCCAAATGTCCCTTAAGATGTCAGTGAGATCCTTTGAGTAATGTGGCTACCCTAAGATTCACAATCATTACCAAACCTGGTGGAGGACTGAGTGGCCAGGCCTCAGCAAGACCGTCTCCGAGTCACGGCGGCTCCGGACACTGGCCAGATGTCCCCATCCACGGCGTCACTTTCCAGGCGCTGGCTGCCTTCCATCCCACCCAACTCGGGGCTGCCCCCTCCCACCACCTGCAGGGCCTCGGTGATGATGCCATCACGCCGTGTACCGTAGCAAAACACCCTGAGATACAAAGCAAAGTGCAGATGCTGTCACCAACGGAAGGGGCAAGGGAATGGCAGGTGCTGGCCATAGTTCCGAAAGCTAGTCATGAATCACTGAACCCAAAAGCACAGACACTAATCTGAAACACACAGCCTTGCCCACCTCTGCCAGTCCCAGATGGGAGCCGTAGGGTGTCAGGGGGCTTCCCCCCGGGGCTGATGAGGCCCCGGAAGCTCAGAGCAGCTGGAGGGAGCCCTCCAGGGGGGCCTGTACCTCGGAGGCCTGCAGGGACGGTGTGTGACCAGACAAGGGGGTGTCTGTCACAGGTCTCAGAGCCTGGCCCCAGCCCCTGGCCCCGCATCTAGAGGAGCTTTGGCTCTGAGGTGAGCCGATGGGTCAAACCCAACTTCTCACAGCTGACAGCCCATTCTACCCTATTCCGGCCTGCCTGGCTACTATGCCCGGGGAGATGGTGATTCAGTTCCCTCTCTTCACAGTTTTTCTTTGCCTGAAAAATTGGAATACATCGTCACCAAGTATGCTGAACATTCACATGACAAATGGGCCTGTGACAAGGTAAGGATTATCATCCAAATGACAATTGTCAAGGGGGGAAAAACCAGCCAAGAGCATTACAGAGCCCAATCCTGGAAATCTGCCCGATTTGTCTAAGTGACAGGTCTGCTGTGCAAGAGCATTCATTATTTCTGAGCAGCAGATTCTCAGAGATGGCGGAGGTCAGAAATGGGCAGCAGTGGCTGCTGGTGCTGCTTTCCTGTTCGTCAAGACAGTGAGCAGTTCTGGACGTGTTAACATTGCCTGATCGGGCACTCACTACCTGGGATAAATGGAAGAAATGTTTCCACTTCCCTTTACCCCAGTGACTGGGTGTAATTCGCAGCTGGTGTGGCTCACGCTGTCTGACACCTGACTGCAGACACATCCTCTTACCATGACCAGGAGCACACTGCTTGTCTGACCAGGAAGCCTCTGCCCCCTGCCCCCAAGAGCCTCTTCCTGAGGAGGAAACGGAATGAACCAGCGTGTGAGGCAGGTGGTTCAGCTCCGTGTCGGTTAGCTCAATCAGAGGTGCCAGGGATCGCCTCCTAGAGTAGCGACAGTTACAGACGGGCAGCTGCCCGTCGCAGGGAAGGGCGTGCAAGCAGGCCAGGGAAGGGCGTGCAAGCAGGCCAGGCCAGGGAAGGATGTGCAAGCAGGCCAGGCCAGGCCAGGGAAGGGCGTGCAAGCAGGCCAGGGAAGGACGTGCAAGCAGGCCAGGGAAGGGCGTGCAAGCAGGCCAGGGAAGGGCGTGCAAGCAGGCCAGGGAAGGGCATGCAAGCAGGCCAGGCCAGGCCAGGTCAAGAGAGCTGGGTGGCTTTCGGGAGCCACGTGGCATGTGGTGTAGGACATGGATGGAGGGTGAGAGGTGAGCAAGGTCATATTTTAGGTCTAGAGGTCGTATCTAAGCATTGGGTTTTCCAGAAGGTCAGCTGACAGAAAAATAACAAAGCAGCATGTGCCCTGCTGGAGTGATTCTGTCGTGTAAAAAGCGAGTCTGTGGGAGCACTGGAGACGTCCGAAGCGATCCACAGGAGAGCTGAGGCAGGCAGGGTCAGGGCAGGGGATGGGGAGGGGAGGCGCACTGAGCGGCAGCCTGGAAGCACAAGCGAGGGAGCCCTTCAGAGAGGGAACTGCCAGGTTCTTTGGGCAAGTGTAGATGCGCCCGCAGCACATCAAGCAGAGCTCAGGGGATGGAGGTCGACCTCTCGACAAGGGGAGGGAAAGAAGCCAGGGAAACAGCATGTTACAAATGAGCAGAGGCCAAATGAGGACGCAGCTGAGTCGGCCTGGCGGATTCAGGGCCTACAGGTCCCACACACACCGCTCAGGGACGCCACTGGCATGTCTGATGGCTTGTGACTGGGAAGCGGGCGCTGCTGGGATCGAGCTCTGTGGTTGGTTGTAACCCATACAGCTTTAACACAGTGGTCAGTAGTCCAGTATTCCCACGCCGTTTCCTGAAGCCTGGCCCCCGACCCGGAGCCCCGCGGCATTGTTTTAAGTAGGCCTGAAATACAAGCAAGAAAGTGGAGCCAGAAGCACAAAGGAGCAGAGTTCAGGGTACAGGAGGCTGAGCCCCTGGCAGCCTGGAAGGACCCTTAGACATTCTCTAAGAGGATTTCCAAGCTGTCACTCAGGAAAAGGCACACACAGGTTTGGGTCACATCGCAGGGCTCTCTGAGTGCCGAAGGTATTTGAACTGAGGGTATTTCTGCAGAGTCTGAGTGGATGGAAATACGGCATTTCCCTAGATGAAAATGTGAAGACCCACCCTCTGATGAGACCCTTCAAGACACTGACCGAGAAGGTAAGAATTGGCCGCCTTGTGGTCCAGCTCCTTCCCTAGGAGTTGTATTGGAAGCTCAGAGGAGTCCGGACAGGGAGCAGTCTTTCAAGTTCCTGGCCTTTGGCAGTCTGTCCCTCAGCCTGTCAGGGGGCAGCAGCCGCAGGACCATTTGCATGATTATGTCTCAGACTCTATTCTTTGGCTCTGAAAACCAAAGACTGGTGAACAAAAGCTCTGTTTAGCACTTAAGGCTGGGCCAAAATGTGCTTAGATTCTCCTGCAGCTGAGCTAGGAAGGGATATTGTTAGATCGTTGGAACTGGGTCGGTAAAAGGGCTGGAGCTCCTAGGAGAAACTCAAACACGTTATATACACATAGATGATACCAAGAATAGGAAGTCCCCATGGAAATACAAACAAGTCTCTTTTTGTAAATTAAGGTGTTTGATTCATCTCAACTCTGAGTTCCTATTTTGCAATCAGTAAGCACGGTTTGTGAGGTTCAGTTTAGTGATCTCTGTAAGAGATGGCATGTGTGTCTCTGAATATTGATTATATGTGAAATTACGCTTTGATCAAAAGATAATTCAGCCAGGGGTTCATGCCTACAATCCTAGCTACTCAGGAGGCTGAGATCCAGAAGCTTGCAATTCAAAGCCAGCCTAGGCAGAAAAGTCTGCAAGAGAGCTTCTGCATGGCAAAGGACATAGCTAGCAAGATCAATAGAAAGCCCACGGATTGGGAGAAGATCTTCACTAGCCATAAACGGACAAGGGTCTCATATCTAAAATATACCTGGAACTCAAAAAATTAAATCCCCCAACAACAAATCCTCAAAGAAACAACTGCCCAATAAATAAATGGGCTAAAAACTTAAAGAAAAACTTCTCTGAAGAGGAAAGAAGGATGGCCAATAGACACATGAAGAAATGCTCATCATCCTTTGCCATAAAAGAAATGCAAATCAAAACAACATTGAGATACCACCTCACCCCAGTTAGAACGGCAAAAATCAAGAACTCTAACAACAACAGATGCTGGAGGGGATGTGGACAGAAGGGAACCTTACTGCATTATTGGTGGGAGTGTAAACTTGTTCAACCACTTTGGAAAGCAGTATGGAGGTTCCTCAAAAGACTCCACATAGAGCTCCCCTATGACCCAGCAATCCCACTTTTGGGCATTTACCCAAATGATCACAAACAAGACCACACTAAAGCTACCAGCACAACTATGTTTATTGCAGCATTATTTACCATAGCTAAGATATAGAACCCACCCAGATGCCCCTCAGTAGATGAATGGATCAAGAAAATGTGGTATATATACACAATGGAATTCTATGCCTCCATCAGAAAGAATGACATTGCCCCATTTGTTAGGAAATGGAAAGGCTTGAAAAAATTATATTAAGTGAAGTAAGCCAGGCCCAAAGAAACATAGGTCCCATGGTTTCCCTTATTTGCAATAACTAATATATGTCTGAGTCAAGCAGAAAAAGGTCAGATAAGTTGATGTTAGGGAAATGAACCCTAAGATAAGAATTCAAATGATTTTCTTTCATGCAATTGTTTCTAACATATTTATAAGATGATTTCTTTGTTGCTTTGTATGTCCCTCCCCCACGGTATAACCCCTGCTTTCACTGTATTTGATGTCGGTATAATTTGTGGAGGGGAAGGGAAAAAACAAATTGTTTAACTAGGGATACATGTGGACCCATTGCAACAATGAGATGTACAAGTCGTTATGTGGAAAAGGAACTTTACAACTTTGGTGGTGGTGGGGAGCAATGGGGAGGGAGGAGGGGGTAAGGCTGGTGTGCCCCTCTGGGGGACAGGACCAGAGGCCCAGGGGCTTAGGGATGACAGACGTCAGGAATGCTGACTATATTTGCGAGTGGAATGCTGCAGGTCGCAGTTTAACCCCCTGGAAGGGGCGCAAGCTAACTGGAACCTCTGCTTACTGTGGGGCCCAGCTTCAGGGAGAGGGACCAGGAAGAATGCTGCATGTGGGCTGGGGAGGTGGCTCAGTGGCAGAGCGCTGCCTAGCGTGCATGAAGCCCTGGGTTCGATTCCTCAGCACCACATACACAGAAAGGGCCAGGCGTGGTGCTGTGCTCCAGTGGGGGGAGCGCTAGCCTTGAGCAAAAGAAGCTCAGGTCAAACCCCAGGACTGGCCCAAAAAAGCCCCAAATGCTGGATGTACATGCTCTCCAGAGCTCTTCACTGCAGATTTTCTTCCAGGAGAAGGAGATTTACCGCCGGCCTGCCAGAGAGTCCCTAAAGACCATGCTGGCCGTAGGCTGGGCTGTGGAGAGGACCAGAGAGGGGGAGGCTGCGGCTCAACAACGGGAAAATGAGAAACTCCGAAGCGCTCTGCAGACCAGCCAGGTATGACAGCCACACGCAAAAGCCAGCCGTGAGCCAGGAGGACGCACCGCACCTGTGCTCTGGGAAAACGCGGGGGGTGGGAACAGGGGGGGACCCCCTCAGAGGGGAGGCTGGGGGGACACTGGGCCTGGGATGGGATGGGGGAGGGGAGGCTGGGGGGGACACTGGGCCTGGGATGGGGTGGGGTGGGGGAGGGGAGGCTGGGGGGACACTGGGCCTGGGATGGGATGGGGGAGGGGAGGCTGGGGGGACACTGGGCCTGGGATGGGATGGGGGAGGGGAGGGGAGGCTGGGGGGACACTGGGCCTGGGATGGGGTGGGGTGGGATGGGGGAGGGGAGGCTGGGGGGACACTGGGCCTGGGATGGGGTGGGGTGGGGGAGGGGAGGCTGGGGGGACACTGGGCCTGGGATGGGGAGGGATGGGATGGGGGAGGTTGGGGGGACACTGGGCCTGGGATGGGATGGGATGGGGTGGGATGGGGGAGGGGAGGCTGGGGGGACACTGGGCCTGGGATGGGGTGGGGTGGAATGGGGGAGGGGAGGCTGGGGGGACACTGGGCCTGGGATGGGGTGGGGTGGGATGGGGGAGGCTGGGGGGACACTGGGCCTGGGATGGGATGGGATGGGGTGGGATGGGGGAGGGGAGGCTGGGGGGACACTGGGCCTGGGATGGGGTGGGATGGGGGAGGGGAGGCTGGGGGGACACTGGGCCTGGGATGGGGTGGGGTGGGATGGGGGAGGCTGGGAGGACACTGGGCCTGGGATGGGGTGGGGTGGGATGGGGGAGGGGAGGCTGGGGGGGACACTGGGCCTGGGATGGGGTGGGGTGGGGGAGGCTGGGGGGGGACACTGGGCCTGGGATGGGGTGGGGTGGGATGGGGGAGGGGAGGCTGGGGGGACACTGGGCCTGGGATGGGGTGGGGTGGGGTGGGGGAGGCTGGGGGGGGACACTGGGCCTGGGATGGGGTGGGGTGGGATGGGGGAGGGGAGGCTGGGGGGACACTGGGCCTGGGATGGGGTGGGATGGGGGAGGGGAGGCTGGGGGGACACTGGGCCTGGGAGGGGGTGGGGTGGGATGGGGGAGGGGAGGCTGGGGGGACACTGGGCCTGGGATGGGGTGGGGTGGGGGAGGCTGGGGGGACACTGGGCCTGGGATAGGGTGGGGTGGGATGGGGGAGGGGAGGCTGGGGGGACACTGGGCCTGGGATGGGGTGGGGTGGGGGAGGCTGGGGGGACACTGGGCCTGGGATGGGGTGGGGTGGGATGGGGGAGGGGAGGCTGGGGGGACACTGGGCCTGGGATGGGGTGGGGTGGGGTGGGGGAGGCTGGGGGGACACTGGGCCTGGGATGGGGTGGGGTGGGATGGGGCCGCAGAGGGGGTCACCCTGCTCACTGCGCCTCTGCTCTCCTAGGGCAGCAGCTACAGCCCTGCTCCTCTCGATCTGTCTAACGTGGTGCTCTCCAGGGAGCTCCAGGTTGGTGCCTCGCTTGCTTTGTGACCTCTTTCAGTGCCTGGCATGTTTCTCTCCCAGGAGTTAATGGGGAGGGGTGAGGGAAGCGTGTTGAGCCTGTCCCGCTAAGGCCGAGCCGGAGGCGGGCCGTGCCGTGCAGCTGTCCTGGGGTCAGGCAGACGGGCCGGCCGCCAGGCAGGGAGGCCCAGGCTCCCTCCAGGATGCCGTGGTGGGGGGTGAAGCAGGAAGTAGAGGAGAGCCCCAGCGTGAGCCCCAGCCCCAGCGTGAGCCCAGCGTGAGCCCAGCCCCAGCGTGAGCCCCAGCGTGAGCCCAGCGTGAGCCCAGTGTGAGCCCAGCGTGAGCCCAGTGTGAGCCCAGCCCCAGCCTGAGCCCAGCGTGAGCCCAGTCCCAGCATGAGCCCCAGCCCCAGCGTGAGCCCCAGCCCCAGCGTGAGCCCCAGCCCCAGCGTGAGCCCAGCGTGAGCCCAGTCCCAGCGTGAGCCCAGTCCCAGCTTGAGCCCAGCGTGAGCCCAGCCCCAGCGTGAGCCCCAGCCCCAGCGTGAGCCCAGCCCCAGCGTGAGCCCAGCCCCAGCGTGAGCCCAGCCCCAGCGTGAGCCCAGCCCCAGCGTGAGCCCCAGCGTGAGCCCAGTCCCAGCGTGAGCCCAGCGTGAGCCCAGCCCCAGCGTGAGCCCAGTGTGAGCCCCAGCCCCAGTGTGAGCCCAGCCCCAGCGTGAGCCCAGCGTGAGCCCAGCCCCAGTGTGAGCCCAGCCCCAGCCCCAGCGTGAGCCCAGCCCCAGCGTGAGCCCAGCCCCAGCGTGAGCCCCCGTGTGAGCCCAGTGTGAGCCCAGCGTGAGCCCAGCGTGAGCCGCCGAGGAGCTCTGGGAAGCTGGCCCTGGGTAGACGGAGTTTCCTGGCCTGGTCAGCCTCCCGGGCTGTGGGGATGCCTGCCGTTTCCCACAAGCACTGTGGAAGTGTTCATTGGTTGACCCAGAAATGTGAGCCAGGGAAATAGAACCAGAAGCCTTTGCCTCTCCTCCTCTTCCCCCGCCTTTCCCACACACATGTACGTGCACACGCAAGCACACACATGCACACACACATACATACACACACATACACACGCACGTGCACACACATACACACATGTGCACACACATGTGTGCACGCACATACACGTGCACACACATACCCACACACGTGCGCACATACACATACACGTGCACAACATGCACACAAACACACACATACACATGCACACACACGCACACATTACACACGCACACATTACACACGCACACACGTGCAGAAACATATCCACACACGCGCGCACACATACACACGCACGCACACACGCACACACACGCACATACGCACGCACACACGCATGCGCACCCGCACACATGTACACACATGCACACGCATGTGCGCGCACGTGCACATGTGTATACACATGTGTGCACACATGTACGCACGCACACACGTGCGCACACACGCACACATTCACTGGTGTCCGTGGCCTTCTGGAGCCTGCGTCTCTTGCCTCTCTTAAGTCCATGGGGCCAGACGAGAAAAAAAAAAGTCATCTCCAGATGACCTTGGAGAAAGTTTCTTTCCAAAATGCACCCTTCATTCTAGGTCACTACTGTGTAAACCTCATAAAGATCATATCGAGGAGCAATCTTATTTACAGGCGCCCTCACCACGCGGTGGTGGCCATTCTCAGCCTGACACTTCCGGGGGGCTTGGGACATTCACCACGCGGTGGTGGCCATTCTCAGCCTGACACTTCCGGGGCGCTTGGGACATTCACTGGGCCTCCCTCTCCTGGCTTGGCGGGTCCGATGGGGTCCTGAGCACTGTGGTAGATGAGGGGCTGCAGGTGGGCTGCTCGGGCCGCGCTGGGCAGCAGGCAGTAGGCCACTTGGGAAGGAGGGCGGGAGACCCCGTGTTCTGCGCACACAGGATGACACACAGCTAGTGAATTTGTACGCCCGGGCCGGTGAGTGGCGGGCGGGCTCCCGCGCAGGCCGGAGGCCCGTGTGGAACTCTGTCCCTGAGCAGAAAACCATGGCAGTTAGGAGGCTGTTTTTCTTGCTGGCTTCTCTTTGACTGTCTCTCCTTGGTGGGACACAGGGAATGGTGGAGGTGGTGGCTGAGAACTATCACAATATCTGGGCCAAGAAGAAGAAGTCAGAGCTGGAGAGCAAAGGTGAGCGTGGCTTCCAGCGCCCGCGGGGAAGGGGTGAGGGGCGCTCTGTCCCCAGACGTGCAGAGGTGACACCGCTTGCTTTGCTGACTCAGGTGGGGGCAGCCACCCCCTTCTGGTACCGTATGACACCTTGACAGCCAAGGAAAAGTTCAGGGACCGAGAGAAGGCGCAGGACCTGTTCAAGTTCCTCCAAGTGAATGGCATTATAGTTTCTAGGTAAGTCCTCTGCCTTCCTGGGTGAGTGGGCTGGAGCAGGGGAAGTGTGGCTCTCCTCTTCTGAAGACCTACCCCCTGCCTTCAAGCCCCATCAGACAGAGGGTCTGGCCCTTTGGAAGGTCTACAGTGAACGCATGTATCATAAACGCGATGCTACAGGCCAGGGCTTTTGCTTTGCACCCTGTTCTAGCAACGGTAGTGATAAATCATATTCAGAATGCACCCTCAAAGCCTTCCTTAGGAGCTGGGAGAATTTGAGGCTCTCCTACCTTTTCCTTTGCACTCATCCCTAATTCTAACAACGTGTGTTTGAAAATTTACAACTGGAGGTCTTTGCAAAATCTGTAAGTTAGTTCTTATGGTTGTTCTGTATGGTGTTGTATCCAGCTACATAGTAACAAGAGCGCGTGCACCACACACAGAAACCATCTCTAGACAAAGGGAATTGGTCCTTACGGAGACCAGACTCCACTGGGGAGACCAACACGTCGTAGCTTCCCCAACCTCCACCCGGCAGGATGCTCCGTCAAAGCGGTCTAGCTGAGTGTCTCACTGAGGACAGGCCTGGCTGCGTGGATCGGGAGGTGGAGCCTGCTTTGGTGTGCTGTGCTCGTGGCGCCGTGCCCGCCGCTCCCCTGGGGGACTGAACTCCAGCTAGGGCACATCCTGCTGCTTCTCCCTTTCACCTACAAGATACTTGCCAGGGAGTGCCGAAAACAAACACCAGGACTTCTATCCTGCGACCTAGGAAAGAATTTGAAACTTGTGTGGCTGTTGAGCAGCAGAAGGAGCTGGCGGCTGGGCAGGAACAGTCCCCTCCTCCTGTTTCTAACACTGAGGTGACTGTGCAGGTGATTTGCTGATGAATTCCCTGCTCACAAACACGAAAAATGGGCCTGACTCCAAAGATGAAGCCAAGGAAACTGGGAACATAGGGAGAAGGGTCACTGAACTCAGAAGACTTATCCTGAGCCACTGGTGTCCCGTGAGAGGCCCCGTAGCCCACGGGCGCTGGAGGCCCTCCCCTCCCTCCCCCCCCCCCCCCACCGGCTTCCCGCCCCGGCCCAGCCCTCAGCCTTGCCCCGCCCCAGCCCAGCCCTCAGCCCTCCCCCCCCAGCCCTCGGCCTTCCCCCCACCCCCGCCCTGGCCCAGCCCTCGGCCCTCCCCCCTGCCCCCCAGCCCTCGGCCCTCCCCCCTGCCCCCCAGCCCTCTGCCCTCCCCCTCCCCCCCCCCCACCCCGGCCCAGCCCTCAGCCCTCCCCCCCCAGCCCTCGGCCTTCCCCCCACCCCCGCCCTGGCCCAGCCCTCGGCCCTCCCCCCTGCCCCCCAGCCCTCGGCCTTCCCCTGCCCCCCTCCTCCACCACAGACAGCCCATTCTCTAGAATGGCTCAGGATTAAAACCCTGTCCGCTTTCCCGTCTCCCAATCTGAAATCCTTCTATCTGTAAACTACGCCCACACCTGCCGCCTCTCGCCCTGTTCATCACCGTCCAAGGTGAGACCGCGTGCTCAGGGCCTGTCTCCTCGCAGTTTTAAGCACAGCAGAGGGTCCCGCTGGACCTCAGTCGCACCACGCCGCTCCCACGCGGCACCTGCAGCCGCCTCCCAGCTCAGCAGGACCGCGATTCTGAGCCCTGGTGCTCCCGTCCGATCCACACACACGGGTCTCTCCGCCACACGCTTCAGCCCCAGCATGCTTCTGCTCAGGGGCTCCTATGACGGGTCTTGCGTTAGATGTCCTCACGATTCCAGACTTGGACTCCAGCGAGACCAGGCTGCCCCGGTTTACACCACTGCCTGCAGACCTTAGCTTCCCGCTCCTGGGCCCGCTCAGCCCACACTGACTCTTTTAACATAAACCTCTAACACTCCAGTCGTTTATGCGTTAGGTCTCCATAGCTAGCAGGTACCTTCCGCAAGAGCAGATATATTGCTTCATTCTCTGACATCCCCAGCCTACTATCTGTTGTAAGAATGGTAACGATTTTCCTGTAAGGGATGGTGAGACATTATTGTACATTTGAAGTCAACTCTGGTCACGTGGTTGTCTCTTCCTTCCTTGGGCTCACCCACGTCCAACCCAGGGGGGCAAAGGACACAGAGCTGGACGCCTCCTCCATGGAAAAAAGATTTGCCTACAAGTTTCTGAAGAAAATTCTGAAGTATGTTGACTCTGCTCAGGAGTTCATCGCCCACTTGGGTAAGTGTTACCATGAAGTATCACAAAAGAATCCGCTGACCCCTTACCAAAGAATGATCCTTTCGCGTGAAAGCTGTTCACAATCCTTCAGACACATCAGGGGAGACCATGGCTGAGATATTTTTTCCCATTAAAAATACCAGTCTGAGCCGGGCGCTGGTGGCTCACGCCTGTCATCCTGAGATCTGAGGATCACGGTTCAAAGCCAGCCCATGCAGGAAAGTCCATGAGACTCTTATCTCCAGTAAACCACTAGAAATCTGGAAGTGGTGTTGTGGCTCAACTGGTAGAGCGCTCGCCTTGAGCTGAGGGACAGCGCCCAGGCCCAGAGTTCAAGCCCCACAACTGACCAAAAAAAAAAAAAAAAATCAGTTTAATCAGGTCCCGGGCTCATGCTTGTCACTGTAGCTCCTTGGGAGTTGGATATCCACGGATCACAGTTCCAACAGAAAGATCCACAAGGCTCCATCTCCACAGAAGAAGCCGAGTGTGGTAACTCATACCTGTCACCCCACCTACAAAACCCGTGGACCATGGTCAAGCATGGGCCTAGACAGAAAGTAAGACCCTATCTCCAAAGAACCGGCGCAAAAAGGGTTGAAGGCTTGCTCAGGGGCTGAGTGTTTGCCTAGCAAGTTCAGGGGACCTGAGTTCAAACTCCAGCACTGTCATACACAGAAACCCAGCGTGGTCCCTTGGCTTTTCTGTTGGACGTGGTTGGCCCTGTGTCACTTTCCATGGAACTCATTCTAATAACTTTCCCATTGTTTTATTTGTGGCTGTGGGTGGCTTTGAAGCTGCTTCCTCACTGACAGCGTGGAGCAAGGGCACGGTGTGGGGAACGGGCACAGACATGACGGAGAAGTTCGCTGGGAAAGTGGCGTCTCCGTGGCCGGGGAGAAGCTGCGTGGCTTCCAAGGGCTGTAGTCGCAGGTTTGTTTCTTCACTAAGGCCAGCTTTGCACTTTGCCTTTGTAGAAGCCATCGTGAGCAGTGGGAAAACTGAAAAGTCTCCCCATGACCAGGAGATCAAATTCTTTGCCAAGGTAAGTGGTTGCCAAACTTTCTTAGGATCTCTACCATTTAGCACGTAGGTTAAACTGACCCCTGGAAGGTAGATAAAATTCCCGTCATGTCAGTGGGACAGGCCAAGGGCGGGGGGGGGGGGGGGGGGGGGTAAGGAATCCTGCCGCCCCAGGCCCCGGGCCCTTCTCCCTGGTGCCTCTGCCATCTCCAGAGAAATGATCACGTCAGTGTGGTCCAGACAGGCTCACCTGTCTGTGGGGAGCAGGAGAAGGAAGCTCCCAAGGCTCTCCATCACTGGCTAGAACATGGCCTTTGAGCTGTAAAGGAAAAGTGGATAATGCATTCTCTAACAAGGTAAAGTATTGTTGAAAAGAAGAGGAGACAATGTCTTCTGCAGAGCCCTGCTCAGGACCAGCAGCATGAACAGCCGACTAGCCTTGCTGTCTGGGAAGCAGCATCGATGCCAGAGGGCAGTGCTGCTGGGTGCCGGTGCCCCCTTCCTGCCCGGCCAGGGAGCCTCACCAAGTGCGGTGCCCCAAGGCCTGCCACAGCCAGGGAGCCTCACCAAGTGCGGTGCCCCGAGGCCTGCCCGGCCAGGGAGCCTCACCGAGTGCCGGTGCCCCGAGGCCTGCCCGGCCAGGGAGCCTCACCGAGTGCCGGTGCCCCGAGGCCTGCCCGGCCAGGGAGCTTCACCGAGTGCGGTGCCCTGAGGCCTGCCCGGCCAGGGAGCCTCATCCGAGTGCGGTGCCCCGAGGCCTGCCCGGCCAGTTTGACTCAGGATCGCATGAACATTTGTAGGACGCTCCGTGGACCTCTCCCCACCTATCCCTAAGGCTTTTGGTTTGAGGCACAAGAGAAATCATGGCACCCAGGCCCAAGAGTAGTTTCCTGGAGTTCCAGGACCAGCACGGAGAGGCTTTTGGCTCACTGAGAGTCTGTGGAGGGAACCCCCAGGAAGGCCTGGCCGGGCTCCCTACCAGCTGGTGTCTTCCAGGTCCTCCTCCCTCTGGTTGACCAGTACTTCACCAACCACCGCCTCTACTTCCTGTCATCTCCACTGAAGCCCCTGAGCAGCTGCGGATACGCCTCCCACAAGGAGAAAGAAATGGTGGCCAGGTGAGTCTATGCAGTGCGAGGCTGTAGGGTTAGTCAGCCTGGGTAATTCATGCTGGAAGGCCGAGGTTGCACATTGCTCTGGAGTCGCCAGCCCGTGACTGGTGCACCCGCTGCGTTGGGGCCCTGGTGGGCTGCCCGGGGCAGTGGCCGGGAGCACAGAGTAGCACACCGCTCGTCCAGAGGCAGCAGCAGAGGGAGCCGATTTCCCGACCATAGCAGTTGTGCTGCTGTGGTTCACGTAAGGCAGCCGGTGTCTGCGAGCCACAGGCGGCGCTTTGGAGAAATGAAGCCCGAGAGCCTGATGATCGGCGGTGCAGAGATTTGGCTGTGATCTTGATCTTGAAGGAAATCAAGCTCCTGTCTGACAGTGTAATTTCAGGATGTGCCCGGTAGGGTACTGGTCAGACTTGGAAAAGATTTCCATACCCAGGTCAATCTCTGTCCTGAAAATGCATTCAGGACACGTGAAAAGCATTCCCAGGCTCGGGAAAGCAGACCCAGGCACTGAGAGGAACAGCTGGACCTGCTCTCTGGGCCCTCTTGTCAATGGATGGGAACGGAAATTGCACTTACTCACTTTTTATTGTGGTTCAAGGCCCAGTGCCAGAGAGCCAAGTGCCCTGCCCCTGGAGCCCCTCCAGTGCCTTTAGCTTTTGGGGTTTTTCTCAGAAGGGCTCTTGTGGTTTGCCTAGGCCGGACTCAGACCAAGACTCACCTACTTTCACCTCCTGAGTAACTGGGACTCTAGGTGTACACCGCCACTCACTCCCAGCCTGTTTTTGAGACAGGCTCCTACCGACGTATCCAGGCTGGCCTCCAACTTTATTTTCTCATCTCTGTCTCCCAAGTAGCTAGGAGAAGCTAGAATTTTTGAAACTCAGATCATTCCAGTCATGGTATGAAATCTGAAATGAGAGATTTGAAATCTAGAGAAGTGTGATTCCGTTTAAATTCCTAACCAGAAAAGATGTTTACTTCAGAAATGTCAGCCTTCTGACTCAGCCCGGTAGGCACACTATGCAGATGCCTTTAGGTCCGAGCTGAGGGAAAGCCGCACAGACAAGCCAACGGGTAGATTCCACTATGCCCCACTCTGAGCCTCATCAAGCAAAGACAGAGAGAGAGGAGGATTTTAGCGAAAGCCTCTGAACTCCTCCCCAGCCTCTCGGCAATGGATGGTGCACGCTGCACTTGATAAGGGCTCAGCCTGTAAATATCACCATCTTGGGAAAGATATGCACGTTTAGGTTTTAAGCAACATGTATTAAACATTCTCCGTGGCCAGGCACTGAGCTTGACTTCTTTTTTTCTTTCTTCACGCAAACCTGTACTTTAGTAAGACTCCCTTAATTTTTCACTCCGTGTCCTCGTTATGTTCCGGGACCCCGTCCAGGACCCTGCACAGCACTCAGCTTACAGTGGTGGCCATGCATGAAATGTTTTATTTCTTTGAATGTTAATGTCACCATAAAGGGGATGCGCAGAGGGGTTACAGTTACATCAGCCAGGTAGAGAGTACATTTGTGTTTGGGCAGCGTCGCCCTATGAAGTCATTTTTAAGGGGCCAGTTTACTTTGATGGAACTCATGATATGAATGGCATGTCTCCTGAATATTCCTCTGGCCTGGGCTGACTTTTTGCCACATGTGAGAGTTACTGCCCATTGGGGAAGGCTCGCGATGAAACCTTGCGGCGTTTCGAACGCACAGTAGCACCTCCGTGTTACTATGTCTGTGACGCAAAGAAGAAACTGAGATTCAGCCAGGTCGCTTCAGCGCACCACACACATAACCCAGATGTTAAGTCAGGACAGGAATGAAGGTCCAGTCCTGTCCATCAGCGGCACATGCCATTTGTTCTACACCAAAGACAGAAGCCTGTGCTGTGAGCCTAAAATCCCCTCAGACTCAGGCCCTGGTCGGAGATGGTCGTAACGAGATCAGAATGCACCGTGTGTTTAGTGAGAAGTGAAGAGCAGCTGAGGTTTCAGACGCTCCAGCAGAGGGCAGGGGTGTCTGCGTCCTTCACCTGTTCTTAGAGTGTGAATTCATGGAAATGTGGCATTTGCTCAGCCAGGCCCGGGTTGTCAAGGCTGGACGCCGCCCAGAGCCGATGCGCCTCGCAAATACCTTCCAATCCGTCGTGTGTGCCTCCCACCCCAGGAGCCGTTGCGTCTGCAGGTGTCTTGCTTGCTCCTTCACCCAGCCCCTCCTCTTCGGACGCCATTTACCTGGAGTGGGGGTCAGGGTGGCAGAGCCCTTCCTTCCCTGGAATCTCTCGACCATCGTCCAACTTTGAGGGGGCCGGGATGTCCGCGGGGACTCGGCCCATACCTGGGCTGAGGACGGGCTCCTTTAAATCACAGGCTTTTAGGAGAAAGCACAGCCCTCTGGGGACCAGCCGAGGCCCTGACCCTGCAGGCCTGGAAATGCACGGCTGGCAGCTGCTCTGCTCAGGTCAAACGCCCAGCTGCTAGCTTGACTCAGAAGAAGCTTTCGTAGGTGTGGGGGACAAGTGTCCAAACACCAGAACCATCTGGGTTTGCCTGCCCTTCGTTTGTGAAAAACAGGGCAGCCTTTTAATTACAAATGAGGAAGTTACGTTCACAAAGCAAGAGCTGTGAAGGACTTCCCTCCCCCCCCAGCCAAAAGCTGCAGCGACGCAGCCGCTGGGCCCCCCCCCCAGCCCAGCTCCAGGGCGTGCATCAATCAAATCAGAAGCGGCTCAGACTCAATTTCACACTCACTGATTGCCAAATTTCTGTTCATTTATTATGAGTCCTTTTAAGCTCTAGGCCAGCTCGGCCCAGCTTAACTGCACTGCAAAAACCACTGGAGACTTGGATGGTTTTCCAGTAGACAGCCAAGGGAAAAACCATTAAAGTTGAGAACGTGACACCCTACCAACACTTGAGATACGTCCTCCCTCCCTCCCTCCGAGTGGTCCCGTACAAGACCCCTGTCTGTGTGAAGCCAGAAGCCTCGGGGTCAGCTGTGACCTGAGCTGGTTCCATGGACCCTGTGGCCAGGGGCTCTGTCATTGCCATTCTTTCTGTTCCTCGGCTGACTGTGAAGGTCTGACTGTTCCCATCTCGAATAGCGCCGGAGTTCTCATGATTCGGGCACGTGTGGCCCAGGGCTCCTAGATGGGACCCTGCAGCATGCACAGAAATTGCACCCCACCCCACCCCACAGGGCGCCGTGGGAAGCCTAGCAGGGGCAGCAGAACTTTCAAAGGGCTCCAAGGAGGAGGAGGAGAGGGAGGAGGGAAAGGAGGAGGGGGGAGGAAGAGGGGGAGAGGGAGGAAGAAGAGGGGGAGGAGAAAGAGGGGGAGGAGGAGGGGGAAGGGGGGAAGAGGAGAAGGAAGAGAAGAGGAGAAGGGAGGAGGAGGAAGGGGAAGAGGAGGAGAAGAGAAGAGGAGAAGGAAGAGAAGAGAAGGAGAAGGGGGAGGAGGAGGGGGAGGAGGAAGAGGAGGAGGAGGAGGAGGAGGGGGAGGAGGAGGAGGAGGAGGAGGAGGGGGAGGAGGAGGAGGAGGAGGGGGAGGAGGAGGAGGAGGGGGAGGAGGAGGAGGAGGAGGGGGAGGAGGAGGAGGAGGAGGGGGAGGAGGAGGAGGAGGGGGAGGAGGAGGGGGAGGAGGGGGAGGAGAAGGAGGAGGGGGAGGAGGAGGGGGAGGAGGAGGAGGAGGAGGGGGAGGAGGAGGAGGAGGAGGGGGAGGAGGAGGAGGAGGGGGAGGAGGAGGGGGAGGAGGGGGAGGAGAAGGAGGAGGGGGAGGAGGAGGGGGAGGAGGAGGAGGAGGAGGGGGAGGAGGAGGGGGAGGAGGGGGAGGAGGAGGAGGAGGGGGAGGAGGAGGAGGAGGAGGGGGAGGAGGAGGAGGAGGGGGAGGAGGAGGAGGAGGAGGGGGAGGAGGAGGAGGAGGAGGGGGAGGAGGAGGAGGAGGGTGGGGGAGGAAACCACCACTATGTACCAAATAAATGGCCTCGTTGCCAACAGCCTGCCGGAGAATCAGTCCACAGGATAGCCTGAGGCAGTACCAGAAAAACCCTCACTTCTCAGAATGGCTTCCTACCCAGCCCTTGGCGCTCTTCCAGTCCAGCTTCTCCCCACTTCCAACCGAAGCTGAGGGCTACGGAGTGATTTCCAGTCCACCGCAACACGGCGGCCACACTGCCTTTCAGATCTCACGTCTCCTGCGTCCTGTGGGCGTGCATCTCGGCACACACCAGGGGTCGCAGGGGCGGCGGCACGGGGTCCCCGCTGGACCCCGGGGGGGGGGCCGCGGCGGCACGGGGTCCCCGCTGGACCCCGGGGGGGGGCCGCGGCGGCACGGGGTCCCCGCTGGACCCTGGGGGGGGGCGCGGTGGCACGGGGTCCCCGCTGGACCCCGGGGGGGCGCTGCGGTGGGTGGCGCTGGGCCATCCTGCCGACTGCCCGGAAGCAGGCTCCTCCGTGCTCCACCATCGCTGTGGTGCACACATTCTTCTCCTGAGCGTGGCCTGAGTGTCTCAGGGAGGGGAACCCGTTCGCCTTCCTAGCTGTCCGTTTTGCTGCGTGTGGGCCGGGGGGTGCAGCGAGTCCTCGAGTCTCTGTAACCTTCTGAATTGTTGCTTTCTGCCTCAGCCTCTTCTGCAAACTTGCTGCTCTTGTTAGACACAGGATTTCCCTCTTCGGTAAGTGGATGCGGCTGAAGGCTGCTCTCCTTCCCGACACTGTCCTGAACTTGCTTTACCTGTGGTTCTCTCAGACCGCCTGAGTCTTGGACCAAAGTGTTCCCTAATTTACCATAGTCAGCCTGGGTCAGGATGAACACTGTCCATGCATTTCCAGCTCAGTTTCCCCCACAGATATTAAGTGCCTCTAACGTCTCCATGAAGCCATGGGTGAATCAGAATAAGGCCACAACGGTCCCTCACCATGAGCCTGGCACTGTGCATGTGGGGGTTAGCTGCTCTGGCTGTGGTGTGCACTAGCACAGGCCCAGGGGCTGTGCATGTGGGAATTGGCTGCTCTGGCTGTGGTGTGCACTAGCACAGGCCCAGGGGCTGTGCATGTGGGAATTAGCTGCTCTGGCTGTGTGTGTGCACTAGCACAGGCCCAGGGGCTGTGCATGTGGGAATTGGCTGCTCTGGCTGTGGTGTGCACTAGCACAGGCCCAGGGGCTGTGCATGTGGGAATTAGCTGCTCTGGCTGTGTGTGTGCACTAGCACAGGCCCAGGGGCTGTGCATGTGGGAATTGGCTGCTCTGGCTGTGTGTGTGCACTAGCACAGGCCCAGGGGCTGTGCATGTGGGGGTTAGCTGCTCTGGCTGTGTGTGTGCATGTGGGGGTTAGCTGCTCTGGCTGTGTGTGTGCATGTGGGGGTTAGCTGCTCTGGCTGTGTGTGTGCATGTGGGAATTGGCTGCTCTGGCTGTGGTGTGTGCACTAGCACAGGCCCAGTGGCTGTGGGGTCACAGACGGTGCTTCTCATTCCAGGAAGCGACGCTTCTACAATGGTCAGCTGTCTCCACATCTTAGCGCAGACACTTGACACAAGGTAAGTCTTCGGGTTTGTGGTAGGCCCTCAGGATGCCCTCTCTGATCCTCATAGAAGGATGAGCCTGACCCCGGAAGCCGGCACTCTGTTCCTCCCGTTCTACCTTGCAGCAGCCCGGCCATGCCGCTTTCCGGATGCTGAGGGCTGAGCCTTAGCTCAGTCTTTATCTTCTCTTACTGGGAAATTTGTCTTTCTGAAGACAATATGCATAATGTGGCAACATGCCACACCATACCCAATTCTCTACACACACACAGAGGAGCTTTGATGAACAGTGCAGCCACAGGGATTCCGAGACAGGGGAAGGGCATCGCTCTGGATTCACTGTGCCAGCCAGGAGTGGCAGAGAGCTCTGACCAGGAGGATCGAGACAGGACGGGAGGGTGTGAATTTGATCAGGGTCCTTTGTGTGCACGAAGAGAAGCATCACAGTTAAACTACTTTGTGCAACTAATCTATGCTAACAAAAGATAAAAGGTCAGAAAAAGCTAGTCACACTTCCTGAGTCATTCCGGTAATCCCAAAACTGGGGGAGTGGAGTGCAAAGCCAGAAAGAAAGAAAGGAGGGGAGAGGAGGGGAGGGAGAGGAGGGAAGGGGAGGGGAGGGGAGGGAGAGGAGGGGGGAGTAGAGGGCAGGAGGGGAGGGGAGAGGAGGGAGAGGAGAGGGGGGGAGGAGAGGACAGGAGAGGAGGGGAGAGGAGGGAGAGGAGAGGGGGGGAGGAGAGGACAGGAGAGGAGGGGAGAGGGGCCAGGGGAGGGGAAGGGAGGGGAGAGGAGAGGGGAGGGGAGGGGAGAAGGGAGGGGAGGGGAGGGGAGGAGAGAGGAAGGAGAGGAGGGGGGAGTAGAGGACAGGAGAGGAGGGGAGGGAGAGGAGGGAAGGGGAGGGGAGGGGAGCGAGAGGAGGGGGGAGTAGAGGGCAGGAGGGGAGGGGAGGGGAGAGGGGAGAGGAGGGGAGGGGAGAGGGGAGGGGAGGGGAGGGGAGAGGGGAGAGGAGGAGAGGGGAGAGGAGGGGAGGGGGGAGGGGAGGGGAGAGGGGAGGGGAGAGGGGAGGGGAGAGGGGAGGAGAGGAGGTTGGCTATAGGCAGGCTGGCCAAGGTCTGAGGGAATAGACAGATGAACAGGGAAGGAAGTCTTACCCAAAATACGTAAATTCTAGCTGCATTGACATAAGTGATTTTAAAAAACAAGTTGTGAAAAGAAGTGGCAAGGGAGCTTTCTTTCACACGTTCACTAAAGAGGGCTTTGTCAAAACCAGGAGAAAGCATTGCAGAGGAGCCTCCACCCTGAGGACGCAGCCATAGATCCAACAAACGGATAGCTATTTAAAAAAGGGGGTGGTAAAAAAGGAGTGAGACTCCTTAAAAGAGATGTTAGGGATTTTATGACCTTGTTTTTGAGAGAAACAAACAACACGCTATGGACATGTGCGGATGGGGTCAGTCACTCCAGACCCCACAGCCCCTTACGGTTCAGATGAAGAATCTTTACACCAAGAAGCTAGGCATGATGGCACAAGCCTGCCGTCCCAGACACTTGAGACCGTCAGAGTGCGGGTTCAAGGCCACCCTGGAAGAGTTAGCAAGACCCTCTGTCAACACCAAAACACAGGAGACTGGCATGTAGCTTGTGGGCAGAGTCCTCGCCTAGAATACACCATGCAGAAAAGCTTCGAGGGTTCACTTTTCTTTTCCAAAAAAAACCATGTTCAGAAATCATCCTCAAGGAAACATCGTCTGTGAATATTTACCCACAGGCAGCAAGACGCACTGACTCTTTGTAGTTAAGTCTATCATCTAGTGTAGAAATATAGGGAGTTCGCCGGGTGCCGGTGGCTCACGCCTGTCATCCTAGCTACTCAGGAGGCTGAGATCTGAGAATCGCAGTTCAAAGCCAGCCCGGGCAGGAAAGGCTGTGAGACTCTTACCTCCAATGAACCACCAGAAAACCAGAAGTGGCACTGTGGCCAATTCTGTGGTCGAGCGCTCACCTTGAAGAGCTGAGGGACAGCACCCAGGCCCAGAGTTCAAGCCCCATGACCGACAAAAGAAAAAGAAAGAAGGAAAGGAAGGAAGGGAGGGAGGGAGGGAGGGAGGGAGGGAGGAAGGGAGGGAGGGAGGGAAAGGAAGGAAGGAAGGAAGAAAGGAAGGGAGGGAAAGGAAGGAAGGAAGGAAGGGAGAAAGGAAGGAAGAAGGGAAGCTACAGGTGACATGTAGGTTTTGTTCCAATTCTAAGTGCTGTAAGAATATAATGAAAGATTCAGATACTCATAGCTCAGCTCCCTCCCCATGAGACACAGTTGATTTTCCTCCCTCCCCAAGTGGTCTAATAAAGTTTTATGACACTGCTTAAAAGGGATCAGCTGGCCCTTCCTCCCCTCTTCCTCCAACCGAAGAGTTCCTTGCAAACTGACAGACCCACACTTCCTTCCTTGCCCTCCACGCGGCCGGGCCTCACAGGAGACCAGCCAGGGCCCTTGCGGATGGTGTGAGCCCACAGAGAGCTGTGGGAAGATCACCTCTCTATCCTCACAGCTGAGTGTTTATAAAAGCCTACAGCCGCTGCCCATTCTCCAGGCCATGTGACCAGTATCCATCTTGTTCTAGATTGCTGTTTACAGATCCTGTGGAGCTAAGCGATGATTCCCCCAGCCCGAGTGGCTTTGAACTTTCCCTCCCTGTGGGATGTGTGGTCCAGGTTTCCCCCTTCTCCGCACACAGCGTCTCCAGGGGTTAGAGCATCAAACGTCTGCCCAGGTGCACCGCAAGTCACCACTTTCAAGAAGGTTGCTGGCCAAAATGCAGAGGCTGCCTCTGGCTTTGAACATCATGTGTTTGCTCGCAGGACTGTCGTGAAGTCTGGCTCAGAGCCCGTGAAGGCTGGCTTGCGGGCATTCTTTGAGAATGCCGCCGAGGATTTGGAGAGGACTTCGGAAAACCTGAAGCTGGGGAAGTTCACCCACTCCAGAACCCAGATCAAAGGCGTCTCTCAGAACATTAACTACACCACGGTGGCCCTGCTACCCATCCTGACGTCCATCTTTGAGCACGTGGCCCAGCACCAGTTCGGCGTGGATCTGCTCTGTGAGTCTCCTGCTATTGCTCAGGAATTGCTCTGCACAAAGCCACAGTCGTCTGGCGAGAGCCATGCTCGTGCATTGAGCGTGAGGGCAGAGTGGAGAAATGATCATTCCATACATTTTTTTCTTCTTAGATTTAAGAAAAGTGAGGTAATGAACCTCTGCAGGGGGAGAACTCCTTCATTTGAGGGCATAATATTTACTTACACCCCAATTTCCTATCTGCTAGCCTAGCTCTCAGCTGTTAGGCTTCTATTTAATTTGAAAGGTTATCTTTGTAACACAGCCTGAGATGTTGGCCAAAATGCAGAGTGTTTTGCTCCTGGGGCTTTCCATTGGTCCTGTTAAGAAGCCTTAGTTTATTCATTGGTATCAGAAGCAAAGGAGAGCTATGCACACTTCGTTATCCAAGCTGTAGAAGACCAAGCTGGTCGGTTTCATTTGAAACCACGCAGGTAACGCATCACCAGCTTCAGTTGTACCTGTTAAGTGTTGGTATGTGATTAAATTTGGCTGAACTTGCCAGTGACTCAGGCTGTGTCTCCCACAACCCTGAATGGCTGAAAATTAGTCATTCACGTGGGTAGGAGTTCATGGAAACAAGGCAGTTCCTTGATTGAAAATAAAACATTAAGTGAGTTCTACTTGTATTAAGGTCATCCTAGACTGAGTACGAGTCCTGGACAGAACCGGGGCTTGCGGCCTGTCTGTTTAACCCGGTGCGTTCCTTCCCTTAGGAAGCAGTGGTACGCCCAGCTGCACTTGAACCTCCTTTGGAAAGACACAGCAGTGAATTTGGGGTGGGCAGACTTGAGGGCCTTTGTTTTATCTCTGAAGAAGGCAAGGCGCCTATGCATTTCTCCTTAGAAAACGAGCAAAAGGCTTTATCAAAATGGCTTCTGAATTCCTTTTTCTAAAGGAAGAAGAATGACACTTGATAGTTTGGCCCTAATACCTCTCTGTGTTGGAGGGAGTCCATGACCATTTGAAGGCTTGGTGGGTCAAGCAGTTCCTTTCCCAGGAAGGACTGTGCGCCTCATCCCAAGCCCAGGAAGGAGGTGCCCCGGCTCCCCCCCAGCAAGCTGGCATGGCTGCAAAGGCTCCCTTCGCTTAGAAGGAGAGCACGCTTCTCGTGCTGATGCCTACCCTGCCTTTCCCTTCGTGGACTGTCCTGTGTGCATCTGGGCCGGGATCCGTGTGATGAGGACGTCTCTGCTCTGTTTCAGTGAGTGACGTGCAGATTTCATGCTACCGCATACTGTGTAGCCTCTATTCCCTCGGGACCGGAAGAAACATCTATGTTGAGAGGTAATTGGCAAACAAGAGACGAGCATGTTGGGGGCGGGGGGAACGTTACCCGGGAGTTTTTAAACATTTAATAGCATCTTGTCCGCGCAGCAAAACCAGACTGTTCACTGGTGTGGAAGGATGGGTGTTGAGCCTTGGTGAGGCGTATCTGGTAATGGCAGGAAGCGTGGTCAGGTGCTGAGATGCATGGCGTGGGTGAGGAAAGCCTGGAGTGCGCGTGGCCAGACGGAAGCCTGTGAAGGCGCGTCTGGTCTCCCAGGCCCAGCCTCCCGCGGGAAGGCGCTGCAGGCAGTTGCGTGGCCCACGCTTTGGGACCATGGGTCCTGCCCGCGCCCCGCTGTCAGGTTAGCTAGCTTTGAGCAAGTGCGCACTTCAGAAGTAGAAACGCTGTTCACTCGTCTCGCGTCGTTGCAGAAGTGCTTGGTTTACAGCTTTGTCCTCCTAATCTTCCCGCACAGGAGAGGCCTGGCTCTCCCTGGCTCTTCAGCATCAAATGCCAGATGCTGTGTTGTTCTGTCTAAATCCAGGGCTGAGATTGGAAGGATAAAACTCTGGCCTGAGTTTTATCCTTAAAAGACTTTATCTTTCTTTTTTTCCCCCCTTTCACACATGAAAGGATAAAAGAATTCAATCAATCTATGCTTTACTTAATCTAAACTACTTTGGGGGTCTGCTCTGTTGATGGTGCTTTTATCAGACCACCTAACAATAAACCTTTATTTCATGATAAAGCGTACATCAATTCAAATTGCAGTGTCTCCATAAAGCAGAAAGAGACTTGATCTCCTTTTAGAACTAAAGAACTGATTGATTGGAGTGATGAGCTGGTAATGAGACTCTCAGCACTGCAGAAGGAAAAGCAGGGGAGGAGGGAGCGAGCTCAGCTGATCCTCCGCCCCCCCCCCCAGCACCGCCCCTCCAGGCAGCAGCCAGCTCTACGGGATCTGCTGGCTGGCTTATGTTTGCAGCGCTGGGGTTGGGCCTGACTTTGCCAGGCTGTGTTCTGCCTGAACCACACTTTCAGCCCTCCAGCCCCGTTTTCATTGGTTATTTGTAGAATACGGTGCTGCCTCCCACCAGGGAGAATATCTGAGCCTCGATTTCCCAGCTTTTAGAAACAGTGAAGTCACTGGTGTAACCGTCTGTGCCACAGTACCTAGTTTCCTTCTGCAGCGTTGGTCTTACCACTTTTCTGCCCTGGCTGGCCTAGAACCATGAGTCAGTCTCTCATTCTCAGCCTTCCTTGTAGCTCAGAGTTTACAGGTACACACCACTGAGCCCAGCTATGGCTTAAGAAGGAGGTTTGTCAGCTTTTCTGCCCTAGTTAGCCGCGAACCATTAGCTTCCCATTCTTGGCATCTCAAGCACTAGGATGATAGGCATGAGCCATTAGCACCTGGCTGAAATTTTCATTTAATTATGTCCTTTTTTGGTAGGTTCATGTTCATAAAATACAAGACGTCACCATGTCCCAAGAGCTTGGGCCTGGGCCTTGGCCCCTGGAAGCCCCCGGAGGGCATGCTAGACCCACGCTATGTCAGGGTCTCGTTCTGTCTTGTTTCTAATGTGTTGTTCAGGAAGAGAAGTTATAAATAATAAGCCCATCCTTGCTCTGCCACTGTTCACTGAATTTTCCTTAATTACTAAGTATCTATTAGATTGCAAGAGCTTCAGTAGATGTGTGGTCCAACAGCTTGAGTGTGTGTTGTAGTTAGATTAAAAAAAAAAAAATGCTGCCAGTCGCCTGGTGACGGATTGAGTCTGAAGAGGAGGAGGAGTCCTGAAACCGGCATTGCTTTTGAAATGTTTTTGTAACTGAGGCAATCATGCAAATGATGGTAATGACTAGTGAGGTTTTCAGATAGAATTTCTGAGAAGGGTAAAGGCTTTTGTGCATTTAATCATGCAGAAGACTTGCATAATTTAACATGAAGAATCTTTGAGAAATGTAGAGACTTGATAGGATTTTTTTTTTTCTTTGCCAGTCGTGGGCCTGAACTCTGGGCCTGGGTGCTGTCCCTCAGCTCCTCAGCTCAAGGCTAGCGCTCTACCACTGGAGCCACAGCGCCACTTCCAACTTTTTCTGTTTGTGTGGTGCTGAGGAATCGAACCCAGGGCCTCATGCATGCAAGCGCTCTACCACTGAGCCACCTTCCCAGCCCCTTGATAGGATTTTGTTCCAAAAAATAACTTAGAACTTAAAACATCTAATCTCAGTTTTTATTTTTCATGAACACTGTGTTTTCTCCTTCGTGCTGCAATATACGTATTCACTCTGTTTTCTGCCTGGCTCCTTCTGATCAATGGTTTCTGATCAAACACTACGCATGCACCCCTCTCAGGGTACTTCTCGCTAGGACTATGTATTCTCCTCTGCTACATGTTACCTTCTTTAGCATCTTTTGAATACACATGATAGAATTTTCAAAATTACAAAACACCACATATGTGAGACATTAATATTTTCACTGAGATTGCTTGTTCCTGACAGCAAACATTTGAACAATCAATTTCCATTGAGATCCATGGGGTTAATTTGAGAGGTTAATAAATTAGGAAGTAAAACATACTGAAAATAGAAATTAAACCCCTTTCAATCTGTCACCAACTATCTACTATGTATAACAAAATGCTAAGTGCTAACAACTAAATAGAAGCAAATCGTGTTCATATCCACAGACGAACTTCAAGTCAGTCTGGGTTTTGGGTTGCTGTGGCGTGGTCTTCCAGCCCATCCCTGCCTGGAGGTTTGGCCCAGCTTGCTGTGCCCAGATGGTGCTAGTCACTGGAGACGTAGCATCTTAGCAGCTTTGCCAGTTCAGTCTTTGCTTAGGCCTGGGGCTGAGGTCATTCAGCATCCTGAAGCATTACTTTTACAGACTATTTTAGCAAGTAGGCCTGGAGATGCGTTGTTTATCTTTCTTGGCTGAACAGCTGATTGGCATGATTGTGTACTCCAGACTAGAAAATGTCCTGTGGGTGAACTGGTGAGGCTCAGACTCTTCAGTAATTAATATCAGGGCGGACAGGGTCAGTCCCTGAGCGTGCAGCCCAGGAGAAACAGGACTTCGTAGCTGTCTTCTGAATAACTTCACAGACCCACTTTTATGAGATCGTGACTTTAATTTTGGTAAAAGAGAAAGGAGGAGATGGATTAATTTTGCACCAGAGCAATTCAGGAGAGTGTCCTAGACCCACCTCCTGTGCCAACTAAAATTTGCTGTCAGACTTGAAATCGTACCCCGATTGCCTCCAATAAAAAGGGAAGAGTACAGCATGGTGCTTCTGTTGGCACATACGGTGAGATTTAACGGAAGCAGCCCCTGTGCACACCCAGGTCTGACGTGGAAGGGTCACTGAGGTCTTGGGCCGTGCTTGTCCAGGGGGCCCATGAAGCCCTGGCTCGAGGCCTGTCCACCATCTTGAGCATAGCTAGAAGAGGAAATAGCAGATGGCAGTTCTGGTGAATCACACTTACAATGCTCGCTACTCGAGAGGCTGAGAAGGTTGGGATCTCTGATGCCAACCTGGGCAGAAAACCATCCATGAGACCCTTTCACACTGGTGAGCACCATCACCCTAGCTCTTGGGAAGCCTCGTGCGGGTGGATGGGGCCCAGACTCATGCCTGGATAAGGAGGTGAGACCGGAAAATAAAGGGTCCAAAGCATGGCTCCGTGGGAAGCACGAGGCCCTGAGCCCAGCCCGCTTGGAATAGGAACCCTGGTTTTATGGTGTTTGCTTGTTTTACAAAGAGACTTAGAAGCAGGGGTTCTTCAAGGTAGAAAAACTGATCTTTTTAAAGGGGAAGGAGAGGGATGCTATGTATTAGAACTTTCCTCTTGAAATCTACAAATACCCTTTCGCACCATTTTTCTTTTCTGCGTTAAGGCCAGTCTTTTATTCCGTACCTTGTGAACACTTGGACGTCTTACCAGCTGCTCCCGCTAGTGGTCCGGTCTCCATCTGCGGTAGAGGGCAGACTCACAGAAATTGCACAGACAGTGCCAGAGCCTTCTCAGATCAAGGAGGGTCAGAGTGCACTGGGCACGGACACAGCTCCACGGTGTGTCACACCACCCGAGCCAGTAAGAGCTAGGCGCCAGGTCAGCCACCAATGTCCAGGAAGGAAGCAGAGGAGACGTGTCCACGCAGCCTCCCGGAGCCTCAGGGCCCCGGGAATACATCTCCAGGAAATGGCTCGACAAAGGGACCACGTCCCTGGAAAGGGGCCTGGCCAGCCAGTGCATGAGGCCGCAGGGAGCGCGGGCGCCCTTCTAAACGGACTTCTTTGTTTCCAGGCAACGTCCTGCCCTCGGAGAATGTCTGGCTTCCCTGGCAGCCGCAGTGCCTGTGGCCTTCCTGGAGCCCACCCTGAATCGCTACAATCCCCTCTCGGTCTTCAACACCAAAACTCCCAGGGAGAGGTCTAGTAAGTGTCTTCCCACGGAGCCCACCAGCCTGTCGCTGGGCTGAGAGGCCAGCGGGCTGGGAGGCGGCGTGGGTGGGAACAGCGGTCCTGGAGCAGGGTGGTTCCACTCCCTGAGCGCCGCAGCTCCGTCAGTCAGAGACTGGACCCATATCCCACCATCTCACAACAGAGATGCGCGAGCACAGACCTGGCTGGCACTAGGCTTGGATTCCGCGTCTATGAAACGAGGCGTTGGTATCGCTGGCTCCTAACTCCCTTCCCTCCTAAGGCCTCACGTCCCTGGTCTGGTTGGGGTCCACGGATCTCTTCTGCACCTGGAAATGCTGTTACGCAGCTGTTGCTGCGGTGTTGGCTTCAGAAGGGGCACAGCCACACAGGTGGCCTGGCTGCCGTCTTCAAGTAGAGACTGTCAGAGGTGCTGACCACACAGCCCCCTTCCTCCTGAAGGAGACACAACAGAAAGCACTAAAGCTCAGAGAAACTATTCAAGAAAGGGATGTTCTTCTTTCTTTCCTGTTTGTTCGTTGTGGGGCCTGCACTCCGGGTCTGGGCACTGTCCTTAAGCTATTTTCCTCAAGGTTAGTGCTCTGCCACCCTACCAGACTAGTAGCTCGCGGGGCTTTAGCAACGCCTTGTTCTCCGGTCCGCGTTCCAGAGCTGCCATGAGCCCCTGGGGGAGAAGCTTGTGACTGAGGGCTGCCGGGCAGTTTCTTTGTCACTACGGCACTTTTTATCTAAGGAAGGAGGAGGGAAGAAGCCTTGCTCCAATTCCTTCCCATCAGAAGAACACGCTGCCCCCAGAAGTCACCACAGGCACAGTTTAGATGAGGCTGGTAATAAAACCACTTCTGTACTGGAGCACGGTGAGACCAATGTTCTCAGAGCAGGTCAGGAGAGACTCATTGGCACAGCATCACGGCTTTCCAGAGTCCCCGGAGAGATCTGTAAGCTCAGCTCTCTCCACCCACTCAGCTCACCTTACTTTCTTTTCTCTCTAACACCAGCAAAAGTTCGGATTTTCCAACCTTGTTTTTCTCTGCTGGCTCTTGACTCCAAGTGAGGCACTGCTAACGCGAAAGCCAGGTGCTAGAGCAGGCTTTGGGCAGCTGGGCAATGGCGGTGACGGACACGGGCAAACACCAGCCCGGTCTTGCTCCCCACCTCGACAGGGACGCGGAGCCCATGGGTGATAGTCAGGGAGATGTGTATATTTGTTCTGAGCCAACGGTGTCAAAATATGCCACCAAGAAGCAATGTAAGCAGGTGCCGTGGCTCACACCTGTAACCATAGCAACCGAGGAGGATCTCCGTGCAAGGCAGAAAAGTCCATGAGGCTCCATCTCTAAGTAGACAGCAAAATTCCTGACTGGAGGGGTGGTTCAAGTGGTAGAGCACCAGCCATGAGTAAGCAAGCTGAGTGCAGGGCTGAGCTCAACCCTGGTATAGTGTGTGCGTCTGTGTGTGTGCATGTGCGTGTGTGCGTGCACGTGTGTGTGCATGCGTGTGCGTGCGTGTGTGCACGTGTGTGCGTGTGTGTGCATGTGCATGTGTGCGCGTGTGTGCGTGTGCGGACGTGTGTGTGCGTGCACGTGTGTGCATGTGTGCACACATGTGCGCGTGTGTGTGCACGCGTGTGCATGTGTGCGTGTGTGTGTGCGTGCGTGTACATGTGTGTGCGTGTGTGTGCGCGCACACGCACATGCACGCATGTACACGCACACACCTTGTCTCTGCGTCACCACGGTATAGAACTGCACCTTTTCAGCTCACGGGGGCACAGTAGAGGAGGAGGAAGCCCTGGACGGCTCTGGGGGAGGGGCAGGGTCTCCGTCACCCTCGTACCCATGGCGGGTTTGGGTTTTTTGTTTTGTTTTTTTTTAAAGTTTGTTTCATATCCCTTTGCGCTGATTTAATAAGATGTTCATAAGTAAACAGTAAGTGCCAGTACTTACATGCTGCCACAGAAGAAAGCAGCCAAGGCTGGGAGCGATGGGCTCAGGGTTCTCATTAGAGACACACAGGGCTCCGGGTGCCAGAGACCCCAGACACACGGGAACACGGGCCCCAGGCTGGAGTCCCTGGAGCCGGCGTTTGTCACCTTGGGTTTGACGAAAGGGAGGGTCTGAGGCCTTTCAGAGCTGTGTGCGGGGTCTACAGGCTGCCCTGGGAGTGGCTGGCGGGCCCTGCGGGGCCACCGCCGGCAGAGCCATGATCGATGCCCGATTATCCAGGTAATCCGTCACCTGGACATCTGTGTTGATCAGTCTTGGTGCTTTGCCAGCAGTTACTCACACCACTGTAGGAACCTGGGCACTTTTCTTATTTATCCAAAACTCAAGCTATGCCTGGAAGCGTGTTCATACTACTTCATGACAGTTATGCCAAGCAGGATAAATCCGTGCTTGTGTGTGGAAGTGTCCAGAATATTGGGTTGCTGAAAGCTTCCTGTGCCGGCCAGCCCACTTAATACAGAGTCACCAGCCACCGAGCCGGGGCCCACTTCCGCACACCCCCCACCGGCACTGCTGGGACGGCTCTTTCTGATGCTTCCCTTGGGTGAAGAGCTGCTGGGTGCAGCAGCAAGGACTCCAGAATGGATCTCAGTAGCACTTAAAGTCTAACGTGCATCTGAACCCCCCGGAAGGCTTGATGCAGGTCACTGAGCTTGCCCCCCGGAAGGCTTGATGCAGATCACTGAGCTTAGCGCTGGTGTTGGTAGCTCAGTGGCCTGGGAGAACCAATTGCTTGAGAACCAGTGTTCTAGAAGTCGAAAAGACAGTGTGTTCTCATGACTCCCCCAGCAGCCTCTGTCTGGGCTGGCGGGACTCAGCCGAGCTGTTTTTCAGGTAACTGTGCACTTCTTAGGCGGCACTGGAAGTACAAAGCGCCTTCTGAGTCACAAACGTTTGTTCCATGCAGGAACCCATTACTGTCCATCTAAGGTGCTTTGAAAGGTCTTATCATGACTGCAGGGCACCGACCTCAAGAAACTTCATTCTTCTGAGGCAGGGAAAAGATCTACACTGATGTGCTGTCTGTGTGACATCGAAACAAACACATACCTCAGTTTTCTGTGTCATCTTACAGCAAATGATTATAAACTCCAGCTGCTTCTGAGGCAGCTGGAAGGTTCTTTGTGCCAGGCTGCAAGGCTGAAAGTTCGACTTCTGTCCTTATCTAATGACTCTGCAGGTGCATGCATAAAATTTCCTTATGTGTGAGTTTCTCCCCTCATTCTGTCGGCCACGGCTGCTCTGCCACAGGGGGCATGATGCATTGCTCTCTGCAGACGACCAGCATTGGCGGTAAACCATGTCTGGCCGTATAATTCCTGTAAATCACAGCCGGGAGGCTTTGCCTGCCATGCTGACACTCCTCCGGAGTTGTCTGGGTTGGTCCCCCAAGTGAGACACTCAGCTTTCCACACACTGAAAGCCCGGTGATAGCAGCAGAAAGTGCTGCGTAGCATCACACCTGCTGCGACCATCACTTTGCAGTGTCCCTAGTAGAACCACCACGGCATCTGTCATCCCAACCTAGAGAGGGAGCGAACCTGTCATCGCAGGCCAGGGGAGCACAGACAGGAATCGCAGTTCGGCTGGCCAGGCGTAGAGCACATCCTAGCTCAAAAATAACCAACACAGACTCACAGAGTGGCTCAGGTGGCTGAGGGACTGTGTGAAGGTTTTCTAGCTTCTCTAAGCAAAACTGATAGGACCGAGGGCACCAAACTATGACTCCGCCACTAAATGGTTGGTTGCTAGTCGCTTTTCTTCTCCTCCTGTCTCTCCAGTAAGAGATGCTCTAGGCTGGGAAGGAGGCTTGCTGCACCCAGAGAAGCCTTCTGCGGGCCCCCTCATGGCGTGCTGGGCTGCTTTAATCTACACCCAGGTGTGTTCACACCAGTGTGACACCTGGGAAAATGCGCTGTCTTTGGTGTAGTCTGTGCATGTGGCCAGCGGTCCAAAACTGCCCCACCCTTCAAGGTGTCCTTGGAATAGGCAGAGGAAGAATGGGGAGGGGGAGGAAAGGCCGCCCGCAGGTGCTTTCGGATGACTGTGCCTTTCCTTCTCCTGCCTCCTCTGGGTCAGTTCTGGGGTTGCCAGACATGGTGGAAGACATGTGTCCCGGCGTCCCCCCGCTGGAAGGCCTGATGGAGGAGATCGGCAGCCTGGCCGAGTCGGGCGCCCGGTACTCAGAGATGCCCCACGTCATCGAGGTGACCCTGCCCATGCTGTGCAGCTACCTGTCCTACTGGTGGGAGCAGGGCCCCGAGAGCCTGCCCCCGAGCGCCGGGCCCTGCTGCACCACCGTCACGTCTGAGCACCTCAGCCTCATCCTGGGCAACATCCTGAAAATCATCAACAACAACCTGGGCATCGACGAGGCTTCCTGGATGAAGCGCATTGCAGGTACGCGCCCCTTCTCCCCGGTGGCTGGATGCTTTCTGTCTTGGGTGGTCGCGTGGGGGGTGAGCGACACCGCTCCCTCCTCCTGCCTCCCAGTCACTTCACTGTAAGCGTGACTGACATGTTCCCCGAAGAGCTTCGTGGAGCCTTGCCCCCGTGAGCCCTGCTGACCCAGGCCCCGCAGGTCTCCAGGAAGCCTTCCCATCACTCCCTCCATGCTGGGAGCACCACCGTACTGGCTCTTAGACGCAGTAATTATCCCTAATTTTGGATAAGTAACCTTGCGTGCTTGCCACTTTGCAGCCCCTCCCGCCGGGGTCCTTCCTGTCACTCTGCATTTGCATGTCGCTTCATGTTTTCTAAGACCGCCTGATGTAGGCACACAGTAGGGGCACTTCCAGCTCTGTGTTTGTCTTTGTGCCCTTCTGTAACGGCTGGAATGGAGTAGGCGCTTAGTGTCACTAGCCCGTGTTCTGTTTCTCAACCTTTAAAACATAACAAAGCACACGCTTGGGAAGTGAATACCCTTCCCCCAGTCAGGAAACTGCAGATACTGAGCACCCTGTCTGTCCGACCGGCGTGTGGGATCCGGCGCGAAGGCATCACGGGCCCACGGCCACGGCACACACCTGCTCCTGTTCCACAAATGCCATCGCTCGGCTAGAGGCAGCTGTCAGCCCAACACTGAGAAATGTCCTGCCTGGGAAAACTGGTAGACTGAGGAAGAAAAGTGCCTAGCTCCTTCTGGTCTCACACGTGAACTGAAATCAGCATAGGAAACGCTCTGGGCACGGTGGCTATTGTAGGTTTCCGTGGACCTGTGAGTGAGTGGTGTGTGTGTTCTCTTCTTACTCATGAGCCTTGAAGAGGTGGAGGACGTCTGGCCACAGGGCCGTGAGACCCGAGATGCCGTTCATGGCCATCCACTGTATGGATAGCTGTATGCGGGCCTCCCATGGTTCCCGTGGCAGAACAAAGTGTTGTCGGCCATCATGCAGTGTGTTGAGGCCTGCTCCTTCCCCCAGGGAGGGGGGTTGTCTCCGAAGGGCGCTGACAGGAGCCAGACTTGAGCATCTCTCCCACAGGCAGGGCCAGACTGCACTCAGTCCAGGCCAGAGAACTTCTGGTAACCAAATCAGTTTTGTTTTGTTTTGTTGGTCGTGGGGCCTGAACTCTGGGCCTGGGCGCTGTCCCTCAGCTCTTCAGCTCAAGGCTAGCGCTCTACCACTGGTGCCACAGTGCCACTTCCGGCTTTTTCTGCTTATGTGGTGCTGAGGAATCGAACCCAGGGCCTCAGGCATGCGAGGCGAGCACTGTACCACCGAGCCACCTTCCCAGCGCCCAAGTCCATTTTCAGAGTGCCAGGGGTCCCTCACCTGCTGGAGTTACACCCCAGAGACCCCTCCCTGTGGGAGGTGGAAATCTGCACAATAGCCACCTTAGCCGGTCACCCCGCTACCTCGGGGTTCACGTAACGCTACTTTGCGGATTCTCACTATCGTGGGGTCTTTGGACCGTAACCCCCGTGATGGGTGAGGGATCACTCTTTACATATTGTTTTTCAACCCCAAGATGCAGTGAAGCCGCAGTAAGTGAGCCACATATAGCGAGGAACAGCTGCAATCCAACCCCCTGGGTCAGCTACGGCCATTCCGATTTGGGCCTCAGCTGAGCTGCACCGAGTGCGGCCGGGAAGCCTCAACTCTTAGCTAGTGCATGTCTCCAAAAGCCCTCTTAACCTGTTCTTTCTAAAACTATCTTTTTTGCGTGGAAGTGAAAAATAAAGAGAAATAAGATAAGAAAGTAACTAGAATGGAGCCATTTCTAATTGAAATGTCCTGAGCTAACGGCCAAGATGCCCATTCAAATGTGCATCAATAGTTCATACCATTACTCATTTTATTTTTCCCTTTTCTTACCATTAATCTGATTTTTATCATCAAAATATCCTATCCTGTTAATCTAGTAAATAATAGTGTAATCAGTCAATATATAATTAAAAGGGAATGAAAGATAAGGTAAGAGGCATATTTTTCTTGTTCTTTAAGAAAGGCCACCACCACCCAGGCACTGGTGGCTCACGCCTGTAATCCTAGCTACTCAGGAGGCTGAGATCTGAGGATCACGGTTCAAAGCCAGCCTGGGCAGGAAAGTCTGTGAGACTCCTATCTCCAATAAGCCATTAGAAAACTGGAAGTGGCGCTGTAGCTCAAGTGGTAGAGCACTAGCCTTGAGCTGAAGAGCTGAGGGACAGCGCCCAGGCCCAGAGTTCAAGCCCCAGGACCACCACCAACAACAACAACAAGAAAGCCATTGTCAGCGTACTGGTTTCCCTTTTTGGTGTCCCTGTTGCCAGCCCTCTCTGTGTTCATTTTTCACTGATGTTGTCACTATGTCCCAGGGAGGCAAGCTCCAGGGGATAGGTTGGCTAGGATGATAGTTGCATTATTGTTCTTTTAACAGATTTTTCTATAAAATACCTGGAAAGCATAAATATGCGCATGTATACACACACACACACACACACATACGTAACCACAGACTTTATCTTTTGCATTTGCCAATCCCTAATGGGCCTATTTGCCTTTAACCATGTAATGAAGAGAGTAATGTCAGTTGCACCTGGTCAATGCTAAAGAAATTGAACTAAGCCTTCAGCTGGTAGCATCAGAATGTCATAATCATTCATAGTCATTCTTACAACTTTTTCACTAGTGCATAGTAACTGTGCATGTTTATTGGTTGCAGTAGGACAGACATGTCAGCATTTGAGGACAGACATGTCAGCACCTCTAGAGGAGGAGAAGCAATCAGTTGAGGGTGGCCAGCAAATGCCTGGCCTGGGTAGAGAGAAGAAAGCACAGCTCCAGGCCTGCCCTCCAGCAGCACAGGCCTGGTTCTTCTTAGTAAAAGACTTTCTTTGGAACTTAAGATCTAGCCAGCGGGCCAAAGCACACAGGAGCGTGCTATAAGGTGACGCTGGACAGGCTGTTCAGAAGAGGGGGCGCTGGCATGGGCCTGCATGCAGGAGGAGGGGTTGGAGGGCCAGGAGTGGAACAGTGGCCCCCCCACTGCAGCCCTGGGAGCCGGAGGGCCCCGGGACGGTGCCCACCTCAGCCCTGGGAGCCGGAGGGCCCCGGGACGGTGCCCACCTCAGCCCTGGGAGCCGGAGGGCCCCGGGACGGTGCCCACCGCAGCCCTGGGAGCCGGAGGGCCCCGGGACGTTGCCCACCGCAGCCCTGGGAGCCGGAGGGCCCCGGGACGTTGCCCACCGCAGCCCTGGGAGCCGGAGGGCCCCGGGACGGTGCCCACCGCAGCCCTGGGAGCCGGAGGGCCCCGGGACGGTGCCCACCGCAGCCCTGGGAGCCGGAGGGCCCCGGGACGGTGCCCACCGCAGCCCTGGGAGCCGGAGGGCCCCGGGACGGTGCCCACCGCAGCCCTGGGAGCCGGAGGGTCCCGCGACGGTGCCGACCCGAGCCCTGCCTGCCAGCACCCTGTGCACACCGGCACCCGGTGAGGGAAGAACCTTTGTCCGCACATGCAGTGTACGCCCAGCCGATCATCAGCAAAGCCAGGCCGGACCTGCTCCGCAGCCACTTCATCCCCACCCTGGAGAAGCTGAAGAAGAAGGCCGTGAAGACGGTGCAGGAGGAGGAGCAGCTGCGAGCCGACGGCAAGGCAGACACGCAGGAGGCCGAGCTGCTCATCCTGGACGAGTTCTCCATCCTCTGCAGAGACCTCTACGCCTTCTACCCGCTGCTGATCCGCTATGTGGATAACCACAGGTGTGGCAGCCCGGCCTGCCTGCCCTCCCGGGGCCTGTGGGCACGAATGGGAAGGAAGGCAGCCCGGCCCGCCTGCCCTCCCGGGGCCTGTGGGCACGAATGGGAAGGAGGGCAGCTCGGCCTGCCTGCCCCTCCCGGGGCCTGTGGGCACGAATGGGAAGGAGGGCAGGGCACAGTGGCCGGACACAGCTGCCCCCCCAGCCTCCCCACACCCCCCAGCCTCTCCGCACCCCAGCCTCCCCGCACCCCCCAGCCTCCCCGCACCCCAGCCTCCCCGCACCCCCAGCCTCCCCGCACCCCCCAGTCTCCCTGCACCCCCCAGTCTCCCCGCACCCCCCAGTCTCCCCGCACCCCCAGCCTCCCCGCACCCCCAGCCTCCCCGCACCCCCAGCCTCCCCGCACCCCCAGCCTCCCCGCACCGCCCCTGTAATGGCTGGTGCAGGCCTCTGACCGGGGATTCTGTGTGGACTGTGACCCACATCCTTGGGAGCCACGTCAGAGGCAGCTTGCCCAGCCAGGCCGTGCACAGCGGACCATTCCTACCCCTCTGCTGCCCCACACATTCACTCAGCTCCTATTCCTGGGTTGGGGCAGGCTCTGTTCTAGTGGAAAGAATGAAATAACTGTCTGGTCTAGAAGCTTCCATCCTGGGAACAAGGGAGCATGAGAGGAGTTAGGTAGGATGGAGAAGGTGTTGAGGGTGATGCTGAGAAAGTGACCCGGAGCAGAGGCGGGCTCTTCACACCCTGTGAGGGGGAAAGGCCCAACCCTCTCCGTCGGGGGCAGGAAATACAGCGGGGCTAAGTTAGCATCCACGTTACAAAGCAGCTGTACTTGTTTGAAGTCATTTTTGAGAGTATTTCAGAGTAAACATTATCTATAGATAGCTAGATACAGATAAAATGCGTTTACAGGCACACTGGAAACTCTTTTCTCACCTAGCTACAGGAAATGATACTCATCTTCACAAAAGGATCCCTGCGTTGAGGGTCATTTTAGTCATTTCCGATAGCATAATTACGTTAGCAGAAGGGAGAAGAAATCTGTCAGAGTTTAATGTGCAAATAAAAATACAAGTAGAGTAAGGTTGCCACAGAAATAGATCTTTAATTGCGTTCATCACTACTGATGATCGGGACTCAAGACTGTGTAGAGTGTTTGACAGTTGCTAAATACGGCAATGTCAGAGCGTCTTTGAGATCATCATTAATTCATTCACCCTGCTCTCAGCTCTTCCTGAGTGTCATGGCCGTGGAGCCTGGCTTAGAAACAGATCCTTGCAGCGTGAGGGCCTTCAAGTCCTTCTGTACCTGTGCGGGTAGAAGCCGCGTTGGCACTCTAAAGCGGAAAGAACAGAAACAAAGCGGTTAGGAGGCTGGGATTGGGCTGTGATGGCCTGAGGCCTGCGACCCCACCTGCAGTACTGACTTCTGACATTCATTTGCTAAGCTCTTCCTTGAATCTTCTAGCAGAACTGTAAATGGTCCCTGGAGATCTTTCAAAAACATACCCCAGTTCGATGCATTCTTTGAGGAGAGATGCCAACATTTTAGTCCCCTTGCTGATTGCCTTTGTGTGGGAAGGCATCATTTTTAGAGTGTGGGCATTTTAATCCTTTCTGAATTTCATCTACCTGTTTGTTTTTCAGGTCTAACTGGCTGAAAAGCCCTGATGCTGACTCTGATCAGCTTTTCCGCATGGTGGCAGAGGTCTTCATCCTGTGGTGCAAATCTCATGTGAGGATACCTCTGGGGCCCGAGTTAGGGAGGTGACCAGAGGTGCAGACCTTGCGAACTTCGTTGTGATGTTTGCTTTTCATTTCTCCTCATTTAGAACTTCAAGAGAGAAGAGCAAAATTTTGTGATTCAGAATGAAATTAATAATTTGGCATTTTTGACTGGAGACAGCAAAAGCAAGATGTCCAAAGTAAGTCCTCCATTAACAGTCAGTTCCAAGCTGCATCCTGGACTGCGGGTGCGGTGTGGAGCCATGTCAGTTTTTGTGGTCTTCGTGTGTACTTCGTGTAGGTCAAACTACATGACCAGCTCCTGCGGCTGTGTCTTTGAGGATGAGCGGAAGGAACTGTTCTCAAATAAGCTCAGTCATCACATTTTATCAGTAAATAGCTGCTTGGACGTCAGAAAGTTTAAGTTTCAAGATTCACCTAGGGCAGTCAAGAGGTCTCCAGAGCCGCTGTTGGTGGCTCTAAAATAGAAACTTCCTGTGACGGGAAGTGGGCGGGGAGATGACCTTGGCGTCTCCGTGGTGATGCTGGTAGCACTTGCTCTTGCGCTGTGTTTGTTTCTTCCTGTCTGGAGCACTAGTGCTTGTTTTATTTTAGACGTGTTGACCTCTTACTGCTTTATGCCCAGTGACGGCTGTACTCAGAACGCCAAACATTTGCCCATCTCTGCAGGGAATGTTTGAAAGATGGCGCGTCAGACTCGTGTCTGACAAAGAGAAGGGTGACGCATAGGGAGGTGGGCTGGGATGCCGGGGCGGCTCTGGCTCCCAGCCCCGCCTGAGCCCCGAGGCCTCCCAGCCCCGCCTGAGCCCCGAGGCCTCCCAGCCCCGCCTGAGTCCTGGAGGCCTCTCAGCCCCGCCTGAGCCCCGAGGCCTCTCAGCCTCGCCTGAGCCCCGAGGCCTCACTGTCCTGACTGGAGAGAATTCTGAGCCACCCTCTCCCCTCCTCCACGGGAGGTCTTGTTACCCACGGCCATGGCTTACCTTAATGCTGACCCTGATTAAACACGCCTCCCTGAGGGCCAGCGTGCTGAGCCCTGCTGGCGGTGGCCCTGTTGCTGTGCATCTCAGCTGGTGCGGTGCTGCCTCTGGGGGTGGGAAGGTGGGTGGCAGGGGGCCCTCCGACGCGGAGGTCAGTTCTGGAAAGATGGGCATCGTAGGCTTGCGGCCTTCCAGTCACTCTCTCGGGGATGGAGGCGCGTGCCTGTGGACCTGCGGGCCCCGGGAATGCACCCCGCCTGGAGTCTTCCGGTGTGGAGGAGGCCCTGGCAGCCGCAGGGCCTCTGAGCCCCCACTAGCTGAACTAACACCGGCACTTCTTCCATTGCCCAAAATCTCACTGGAATACGCTCCTGCTACGTGTGTGCTGCTTAGTAGAGGCTGGCAGACAAAGCCACACACAGAGCAGAGGAGCCTTGCTGCAAGCAATCTTACGAGAGCCCGTCCTCCTGCGCTTTAGGTCACTGAACTTACTCGTTGTCACGCACCTTTTGGTAAGCTTGCCTGCTGGTTGGAGATGCAGGAGGTGGATTTTTTGGGGGGTGGGGGAGGACACCTTGCTCAGCGGAAGCTGCTCCGTGGGGTCTTCGTATAGCCACCACAGGCCTCCTCCCCTCCCTTCCTCTTCAGAAACTCAGTAAATCCCAGGTTATCTTCAGATCCACAGCCCAGCCCGGAGCTAACCAGGGTCCGGCTTGTTTGGCAGGGATGGCAAGTGAGGAATGAAAATGACCCTGACCTAGGATTTGGATCAGAGAGAGGCAGGAAATGGCCTCAGCCCTCCGGTGATGAGTAGACACTTTGGACCTTTGGGTGTTCATTCAGAAAGAGACGGGACGACAGAAAAGACCTTTAAAAACTCACCTACTAACACACGCACCTGCAGCTGTGTTCAGCTGCATCACTGAGTGAGGACAGTGGCCTGTGGGTTTTGATGGCGGTGGTCATGCTCAGAGTCCCGCGCCTTCTCTGTTGGTAAGGTTAGTCTTCAAGAGCAAACCCATTTTATTCCGTTGACAATGTGTAGCAGTCATTTCTGAGCCACTTGGGGTAGGCCAAAGTTACCGTATAACTGAACTGGGGGCTCTGTCCGGAGATGCCAATACCACTGTGGTCCTTAGGTCAACAAGTCTTCATTCACATTGTTCCCAGAGCCTCAGTGGAGGCTGGTGTGGGGAGTAAGCATCCGTGACTGGCGAGCTTGCTTCCTGACTTCATCTCCAGCACAGGGCAGCAGTTGATTTTAAGATAGTGAAACCCCTTGTTGCTCAGTAACTGCATTGCTTTCTCTCTGCTGCCTGGTCGGGATGGGCAGCTATCTATCACATTTGCTTGCTTTCACCTCGGCTCCACGTTGAGCACTGGGTTGTATCAACGAAACCTCCCACGGGGCACGGGGCAGGCTTTTGGGGCGTGTGTGTGAGTGCCGCATGCCACACAGCACACGCTGTTGCAGATGGAAGAGAAGGGAAGGAATGCCCCACGGGCACCCTGCTCACAGTGGAGCCCTGAACTAAGGCCAAAAACAGCAATGCTGTTTTTCTGGAAGCTGAGGCAGAGTGTTTTTGAACGTTCACTATCTATTTTGTTTATATATTGCTGGTTGGCCAACATATGTTAATCTAAATGTAACTAAGCTGAGCAGATATTTTTGTTTTGTCTTTTAAACTTGTTTTGTTTTCTGTGGGAAAAAAAGTGTCAGCAGCTTCCTCGGCGGGGAATGGAAAGTTAGAACTTGCTCAGCCCGAGCAATGCCAGTTCCTTGACCACGGTCGTAAACTAGAGAGTTCAGAGTTGTGGCGCAAGAATCAGAGTGACTTGTGGGGGAAGCCGCAGCAGCCCCCAGAGTACAGTTTCAGGGGATCGCTTTACAGAGGTGCCTTGAGGTTTCCGGAGTTACGCGTGACCTCCCGTTCCAGCCTTCCTTCTTACTATTGCTTCTCTTTCATTTCCGCACTCCACTTCCATTATTGCTGTGTTCTTAGATGTCATCCTGTACAGGATGCTCACATCTTACTCATTCTCCCCCACCCACACGCACACCCATGCACCCCCACGCACACACACACTCTTCCTCTTGGCCTCCGCTAGCCTCGCCCGTTACTCTCTCTCCACCCCCAATCCGTCAATCCGTCTGTCTGTCTCATATACACATACCCACTTCCGATGCACTTCTCATCTTCTGATATTCCCGTAGCTTGTCCCTGTGCTCTGATGCCCATTGTTCAATTGACTTGCCTTTACCGCACCTAACTGGATGCACAGATTCCACCGACGCAGGTTTACCTTCTGTCAAAGTCTGAAGTAGCAGGACAGCACCAGCAGTGTGTCCTATCAAACACCCTTCGCCCAGGAGACGAAAAGCCTGGCTAAAAACCCCAAGGTCCTACGTGGCACCGTCTGTTTGATTATAAACCGCTCCTGACCTGAGTGTGGAGAAGTGAAATTATTTTGAAGTTGTGCAGTGACGCCTCCTCTTCGCAGCAGGAAATAATGAAAGTGGAATTTGCTGGGTCGGGAGCCGTGTACGGGTGGTGTGCAGGGCCTCGGTGCCCCTTACCTGAGTCGTGCAGTGGTCTGCATTCACTTTGAATACTGCTGGAGCACTTTTTATTCTTTTAAAAGAGAACCCCTCTTTGGAAGCCTAAGAATTGTCCTAGAGTTCAGTCATTTTCCTTTTTACGGCCAAAGGTCTGATGGGGTTGACTGTGTGACAGCGTTAGGAAGAAAAAGCAGTCTTTGGTCCCGTAGCAGACAGTGTGTGGCATTCGCTGGTGGAAGGTGGGGCGTGGGGAGGGAAGACTTGAGACCTGGAGAGCTGTGCGGGGGACCCGGCTGTGTCACCACGCTCCCGGGACATCTGAGTGTCTGTTGTGTTGGCAGAGAAACGGGCTAAGATGCTGTGAATAACATGTCTTGGACTCCTGCTCTTACTGACTTTCTTGTTTCTCTTCTCTTGCCTTCCCACACAGGCCATGTAAGTAAAGGTGCAGGTCAAAGGCATGACGTGTCTTTTTCTGTCGTAGTATTAGGGGTGCCAGTCACCATAGGGTGGCACAGAATGGAGCTGTCTGCTCCAGGGAGACACCCGCCGTCACTCTTGCAATGGGGCCAGCTGGGGCTCACCTGAGGTCCCTTGCGGTCTCCGCTCCCTCCCAGCGGCCTGCTCTTCTAGGGTGGCAGCCCCTACACTGGCAGATGGAGCTGCCCAGGAGCCTGCTCTTCCGTGCTGCCCCCCAGGGCCATGGTCCTGTCTTCCGTTAGTGGTCCCCCACATTTCCGCTCCACAGGCCCTGCCTCTCAGTATGCACAACTCAAAGAAAATCTTGGATCTGGAATCAGCAGATTACCATGAGTTTCTGTATAAGACATGGTGACACCAACCTTTAGCGGTAACACCAGTTACCCCTAAAGGATACTATGTGGAAATTCTTTTCTGCTCATTGATAGTGTGTACACTACTAGCGGCCCAAGCCTCATGCCTTATGTGCAGCTCTTAGAAAGGATTGGGAATGGAGACTCAAACCTGTAATCCCAGCTACAAGAGGATGGTGGTTTGATACCCACCCAGGCAAAAATTAGGAGGAAACTATCTGGAAAACAAAAACTCACCAATGGAGCTCCGGTGGCTCCCACCTGTAATCCTAACTACTCAGGAGACTGAGATCTGAAACCAGCCTAGGCAGGAAAGTCCATGAGACCCTTATCTCCAATAAACTACTCAGAAAAAACTGGAAGTGGTGCTTTGGCTCAGGTGGTAGTGCCAGCCTTGAGCAAAAAGCTCAGAGTCAGTGCCCAGGCCCAGAGTTTAAGCTGTAGGGCCGAACACACACACACACACACACACACACACACAAAATGTGGACAGGATTGAAGTAGTCTAGGCCCAGAGTTCAACCTATACTCCCCCCCAAAAATGAATAGAGAAGGCAGAGAAAGGAAAGATAGAAAAGAAAGAAAAATAGACCTGTGTTGGCTCAGATGCTTTCTGGCATGTGTGATCTTAGAAAAATTACTTAACTTCCCCGAGCATCATGTTGTCATCTATAAACCTGCTTTGTTACTATTTCAGTTGTTGAGAGGGTAATAGATGTCTTACTTAAGTATCAAGGACATTGAAGTCTGTCATTGCATAGCAATTATGCTATGATGCGGACAAAATCAAGTAGAGAATGAGCAGGAAATGGTCCAAATTCCACACTCAGGTCCACACAGTGACCGTTTTAGCACATTTACTTTAGTACGTGCACTGTGTTCTGCGTTTACATTTTACACGCACACGTGGTTTATATCCGTAAGACCAGGTTCTGGCTCTAAGGGTGACCTGGGGCACTTCAGGGGCAGTGGAGGTGGAGGTGGTGACGCAGCTTTTAGCTCTGTACACCCCCGGTGGACGCAGAAGGAACATGGCTGGCACCCAGTAAACGTGAGAGCCAGCCTCCCTCTCTGCTGCATCCTGGGACATAAGAAACCTTTCCTACTCTCATGTCTCCCCACTACCCTGCTGCTGGCCGGGGCTCCCAGGCCCCCTCCGCCAGGTCTGGTAGCTGACCGGGAGCTCTGCTGTGGATTCCAAAATGTAATCACCCAGGCACCGGCACCCAGGGCGGGACACCCGGCCCTCCACGGGAGGACTGGCGGCCTCTTTCCACTTGGGAAGCAGCTAATGCGACAGGAGAGCCCATCACTGAGCCCAGGGATCCCAGGTCTCGAATTGCGGGATGCAGCCGGCTGCCCTTGCTCCCAGAGCCCATGTCTGTGTCATTATGTCACAGTGCCGCCACCTCCTTCCTTGCTGTAGACACCCGTTAAAGCAAAGGCCGGCGGCCACCAGCTCTGCTTCCCCTGGTCCCTGACTCCCTCTGGCCACATCCTGTCCGACCCCACTTGGCGGAGGGCACAGCTGCCTGGGGTTGGAATCACAGCCGCAGCTTCACACGCTGGACTCACAGCCATCAGGCGGGATGAGGCAGCCACCAGGAGTTCCTTTCCTCCAGTTTTTCCCAGTCCATTCCCAAACCAGTCCTTCCGTAGTGTTTTTCTCTTCCTGTGAGAATTTACGCCATCCCTGGAGTCCAGGGAGTGTCCACAGGGTGACAGCGATCCAAACCATGGCACCTTGTCCCACAAAGGACATGTCTGTCGTTACCCCCTAGCGTAGGGGAACTTGGTTCTGTCGTGCGGTCCTTTGGCCAGTCATCAGCCATTTATTGGGTGCAGAAGCGAGTGAGCAAATGTGTGCTGGGTGTGTCTAGTGTGCAGGTGCAGAAAGGAAAGCTGGAGACTGCTGGTCTTCCATGGGCTCCTGGTTTGTCTTATTAACACTCTTGCCTGTTCTTTGAAATGCAGCCAGGCCCGGCCTGCGTGGACGGGGCCACAGGGAGGCAGGCCGCAGCCAGGCCCGGCCTGCGTGGACCGTGCCACAGGGAGGCAGGCCGCAGCCAGGCCCGGCCTGCGTGGACGGGGCCACAGGGAGGCAGGCTGCCTCTCGGAGGAAGCAGGGCTTTTCAGTCACTGAGCCCTCTCTTTATCCATGCCGCCCTAGTCTGGAGGACAGGACCAGGAGCGGAAGAAGACGAAGCGGAGGGGAGACCTGTACTCCATCCAGACCTCCCTCATCGTGGCCACCCTGAAGAAGATGCTGCCCGTGGGCTTGAACATGTGCACTCCAGGCGACCAGGAGCTGATCTCCCTGGCGAAGTCCCGATACGGCTGTGTAAGCTGGCGGCCCGGCTGGCGGGGCCCCGCAGGGCCGTCCTTGGGGTGGGGGCGGGAGGGGGGCCTCGGAGCAGAGGGCAGAATCAATCAAGGGGATCAGAGCTGGCTCCCCTCACTTCAGCACTAGTCTGGGCGTCAGTAACAGGATAACTCTGCACATGTCCTTCTCACGAAGGTCACAGCTACACCCTGCTGCTGACCCCCACGCCAGCGCCCTGCCTACATAACAATAAAACGGAGCCTCTTTCCACAGAGGGACACGGATGAGGAGGTCAAGGAGCACCTGCGCAACAACCTGCATTTGCAAGAGAAGGTGAGGCCGGGCCGCCCCCCAGCGGCCTTGGCTGGCTTGTATGGCTTCTGAGACGGTCTTGCTCCGATCCACGGCCTCTAGCCTCAGCCTCCCGAGGACTGAGATTACGGGCGGCGTGGTACACTCCCATGTGTGTTCTAGCTCGCCCATTAATGTTCGTTCTTTCCTTTGCTACTGCAAAGAGGCACCTGAAAAATATCATCTCATTCCCGGCTACTGGAGCATGGAGCCAGGGTGCGGGGGGGGGGGGGGGGGGGGGCAGGGGGGAGGGTGAGTGTTTGGACTCAGACTTCAGCACCTCCCACTTTGACAGGATTGAAGTCAAATAATTTTGAGTCTGACTTGGCATCATCCAAAACGGGAAAATTCTTATTTTAAAGGCAACTTGAGGATTTTCTTTCAGGCCTCTGAATCTGAGCAACTCTTTCCTCAGAAACATTACGCCTTAAAATGGGTAGCTAGTATTTTACATTCCCACCCCACAAACCCTTCTTGTTTTCTCCCCAAACATACAGAGATGGTAGAGTTTTTTAAATATAACAAAAAGACCAACTGCTAAAAACAAAACTTCACTGTTGGGAGAATTCTCCAGGCCAGATTCGTGTCTAGGGAGCTAGATTTTTCTTTTTTCTTCTTCTTTTTTTTTTTTTTTGTCAGTCATGGGGCTTGAACTCTGGGCCTGAGCACTGTTCCTCAGCTCTTTAGCTCAAGGCAAGCGCTCTACCACTTGAGCCATGACACCACCTCCAGTTTTCTGGTGGTTTATTGGAGATAAGAGTCTCACACACTTTTCCTGCCCAGGCTGGCTTGAACCGCGATCCTCAGATCTCAGCCTCCCGAGCAGCTAAGATTACAGGCATGAGCCACCGGCACCCAGCTGGGAGCTAGATTTTTAAATAATAGTAAGAAAGAAGAGTGTGGGACCTAAATACCCATCCCGTGCACAAACGTAAAGTGAGAGACATAACATTAGTCCTGAACCATTGAAACCAGGGAGTCTCCTGCAGAGACAGCCAGGAAGCCATCTGGAGAGGAGATTTTTGTTTTTGTTTGTGTCAGTCATGGGGTTTGAACTCTGGGCCTGGGCGCTGTCCCTCAGCTCTTCAGCTCAAGGCTAGCGCTCTCCCGCTTGAGCCACAGCACCACTTTCGGTTTTCTGTTGGTTAATTGGAGATAGGAGTCTCATAGACTTTGCTGTGATCCTCAGATCTCAGCCTCCTGAGTAGCCAGGATGACAGCGTGAGCTACCGGTGCCCAGCATTTGGAGAGTTTCTACTTCCCGTCATATAGGACAGGATGCCAGTAAAACTTCTGCAAATAAACTCATAGAAACAGTTGCAAAGCATGTAAGGACTGAGTCTCTGAGAAGGTCAAGAGATG